CAGAGCCCTGGCACAGGCTGCCCAGGGAGGCTGTGGAGTCTCCTTCTCTGGAGGTCTTCCAAACCCGCCTGGATGCCGCCCTGTGCCCCGTGCTCTGGGTGTCCCTGCCGGAGCAGGAAGGTTGAACTGGATGATCTCTAGAGGTTCCTTCCAACCTTGAGCATTCTGTAAAACCCACCTCGTGTAGCGAGCCGGAGGAGCGGTGTCCTCAGCTCTGACACTGCCACGCAACCCTGCTGGGTTAGACTGGGTTAATACCTGTGGATTCTGGGGGAAGAAAACCAAAGAGCTTCTTCAAATTTGAACTGAGAGCCATTTTATATTTGCTCATTAGATTTCTGTAGCTCAAAAACAAATACTCAAGTGAGTACCGTAGGCAAACACTGAGGAAAAGCCTTTTTCTCTCTGATCTCTCAAAGTACTTCTGTTGCTTTTACTTCTTCGCATCGTGTGGGCTTGATGTTCAAGACTTTTCAGCAAATGGGCACCGATTTGCCATAATTCAGCCGCTGGTGCCTTTCAGTTCCAGGAACTGCCTTAGCAGGGGCTCCAGATAAACCAAATGGTAATATTGACCCAGTTTTCCAGTGTGGTGTGGGTTGTAAGTTTAAATTACATTACTTTAAACTACTTGGGATTTTAGATGTACCTCTGAGGGAATGAAAGTTCAGATTTGTATTTTAAATTGTGCATGCATATTTATAATCATTATTTTTACTTGTATTGCCTGCAAGTCTGCACTGCATTAAAACTGAAAATTTTGGAGCCTTTATTTCCACCTTAGCTTTCATGCTGTTTACAACTTCTACATACTTCATTTTGGACAATAAAAGATAATTTAGTTCATTAAGTTTTTTTGGCTCACACACCAAAGCATTTGTTGTATTTGGATGACAGGCTGCACAGACAATTTTAAAATTCAGACATAAAACTTCTCATATAAATGAAAAAAAATCTATGAATACTTCTAAAAGTTCTTTTTAACCTTTTCTCTCTTTTGTTGAATAGATCCTGATTTTTCACTTATTTTCTGTGTCCTTTTTAAGGGCCTGATACAAAATATACTGACGAACATGAGAAGCTTGTACTACCTTGTGTCAATCAGACAGTCAAGTATTAATCTTAAGTAAATTTATATTTTTGAGTGTATATAAGATAGATATATCTCCAGAAAGGCAGTATTAATGCCTCCAAGTACATCAAACTCTTTCAGATCAACACTTTCTAGAATTCTCTCTGCTTTCCGATTCTCCTCCCCTCAAAATTGCCATACTCCAAACTCGAGCAGTTCTCGGGTCATCTCATACTCGGCCTCAGCCACTAGACAACCATTAAACTGAGAAATTCTGTGTATTTGACAAGTCTTATGAAGAGATATTTTGAAAAAGGGAAATACTGGTTCAGCTTTTTGCTATTATCATTCCACAAAATTTCATCCACGCTCCCTGTCCCCATGAGAAGAGCAAACCTAGGTACAAAGGAGTATTTATTTCCAGTCCCTTCTCATAATTCTGCCCCCTTTTTTTTTTTTTTTTGGATGTACCTGCCAATGACCATGTCCCATGTTCAGGTGTTTTCCAGCACCTGCTGTGTCTGTGTCCAGTAACTGTGTAGTTATCAGGAAAGGGATCACCTCAGTAGGAAAAGGAAGGTTCTGGCTCCAGCAAAAGGTGTTACCTTTCCTGACTATTCAGCTTACATAAACTTCTCATATACGTGCCAGATTTTTTTTTCCCCTTTTGACTAATTTAATGAGCACAAGGGATCAGATTTGCATTGGGTTACAGCGAGCTAGAACATTGCTCACCTGTGCACGTTGAGTAAAACCTGCTTTTACTGCTGCTCCCTTCGAGTTGTTGGCTGCGGGGCGCCCCAGGAGAGCAGCGTGCAGCCTGTCCCTGGCCTTAAACAAATTCTTAAACAAATCTCCTGCCCAGCTCCCTGGCTCGGGGAGCTCTCCTGGAGCTGCTGCTCACTGGTAGTGAAGTTTTGCAGGCCCCTGTGGGGAGAAGGTGAAGGGAGCAGGAGAAGATCATGCAGAGAGGGGTCGCCTGCTGATCAAACCCTCCTGTAACACAAGCAGCTGTAATAAGAAATTCACAGATTAACTAGAACACTTTCCAGGAAATATCTTTAGTGCTGAGTGTGATGGTAGCAGAGACTGGTGAGGTGTGAGGCTTATAGGTGGGGATCTGCAAGTTTGAATAATTATATGATTACATATTGTTTTCAGTTCAGATGAATTTCATACAACTTGCAAATTGAGGATGCATTTTTTTTCATACTTTTCTCTTCCAAATAGCTATTTCACAAGGTAATTTGAGGTTTCCAAACCTGTCTTGTGGAGTTAACTTCTAAATCCCTTTAAAAATAATAGAATACTTAGTGTCTCAGGCCTCTGAAAAGCACTGCCATGCTATCTGATGACTCTGTACCACATAAAGGTTCCTCTCTACATTCTTCCTCCATAAATAAGCAGATTTTTTTTCTTCATATTGGGAGGGTATCTCATTTGCCAGATCCTCAGAGCTGCTCCTAATGCTATTTTTCCTAGGCCTGCTTGTTTACTGACATATTTCCCTCATTGATGTTTCCAGTAGGGCTTTTATTTGAGAGCCTCAAAGCCTTGTCTTTTCAGGGGCCACCAAGGATGCCCTTGGGATAAAAGTCTGCCTCTTGCAGACAACAAGCCTTTGAGCAAAAGACTCTGGACACACAAAAATTCAGGGATTTGGTACTTCTGTGTCTTAGTAAGGCGGCTCACTGCATCAACAGGCATTTGCAGACGGGTGCTGTTCAGGCTTTTCATGAGGGAATTGGGCAAAAAGCAGGTGAATAAAGCACCATCGTGTGATCATGATCCTCCCTCTGACCACTCTTCATGGAAAGGTGTAGCCAGAACCTCTTTCTGTTGCCGCTGAACACGCTTTGCTGGTGGTTAATGCCCTCCTTTCGGTCAAAAGCTAAGCTCCAACATTTGTTTTGTGGTTGAAGCTACCTTTGTGGTAATGGAAACCAATCTGGTAGGTAGGTAGAACAAGGTATTAACAGCCACAAAAAGGGCATGCACTCTTTTGGAGATGGCTTGCATAGAAATGCTAATTGCCTGGTTTTAAAAAGTTGGGTTTGGTTATGGTAAAACATGTAGAACAGGAGATAAATAACATTGTGGTTAAAACCACTGTAGGCAGCGTTGCCTTCTGTGCCAACACGGAGAGGTGTGTGAGCACCAGCACCTTTGGGACAGGGTAACTGCTGTTAAATTGCTGCTGCCCCATGTTAATTTTCTGGTCAAATACTTATTGCTCCTCATAACTAGGGGCATCCTTCAGTAGTGGTGGGTACCTGGAAACTATATTATGCTGGGTTATGAATTAAGCCCTTCCCAGGGCTTAATTTGTGATCAGAAGATAATTATGTTGCTGATCTCTTTAAAATGAAGAAAAAGCAGTATCTGGTGTTCCCAGTGCAGCAATCTCTCAACATCAGATCTTCCAAACTGCTAGTATCTGCTAATCTAAAACCTCTAAAAATGACTTTTAGTTTGAAAATAAAGTGAGGTTCTATAGTTATGAAAGAAGACCATGAAATATACAATTGGATAGATTTTTTGAATTTATTTTTTGTGTGGGCTAAATAGGTCTTTTACTTAAATTTCCTGAAAGATTAACTGAAGGATTAAATCCAGCCTTCCTAGTGCTTCCTAGGGAACTTCATGGTAGTCTTACTAAATTACTGTAATATATTAGTCAAAGAATCAAAGAATGCAGTGTTTTCAATTCCTAATTACTTTTCTTTTTTCTTTCTCAAGTGTGTCAGTCATTGCAGATAAGTATGCATAAAACAAAAAGTATAAAATTTTCCAGATAACAGCAGCTTTTTCTTGCAGTTGTTCAGCTGTTTCTCTGTTGGTCTTTGCAGTTTCTTGTGCCTTGTATGACACTATGAATATATACAGTAAATGAGTATACCAGCTGTGCCAGTACAAGGGGTTTGCACAAATTACTGATGCTTTTTTTTCATAAGGAGCATCTTTCTATTTTATGTTTGTGTGTTTACACTATAAGAAACATCTCAGCCTGTTGTGACAAGAGGTGTTGGGAGCTGTGACACTGCCGTGACAAAAACCTTGTCATAGAACAAGTGGCAGTTCTAACCAAGACTTCTAACCAACTCTGCACTTCTTACGACTTTCATTGTTAATCAGCATAGTTTACCTAAGCAGGAAGTAAAACCTAATTCCATAATAAAGCAAACTAAATCCTATCCATTTAACCTCTCTGTTTCTGAGAAAGAATACCGTATACCGAAGTGCAGGATATCCAGTGTTGATTTTTTCTTGCAGTCAATGAGGTTATTTGGTCTGTAAATGCAAACAGTCATTATGGTTGAACATAGTAAAAATATTCTAATATTTACCCATCAATAAATAATGTAAAAATGTATTTTAAAACCTTCTTTTACAAATTGTTCTTAGGCAGAAAAACCAGTAATTGCTGAGTTTAGCTGTGAAACCTTAGTTCTGTTCCTTTTTGCATAATCATTATCAAAGTCTGAGAATTTATTATTACATAATCACCGAGTATTGTAGTAATACTTAATTTAAATAATTGCAATAACACCTAGCAATTAAAAATTCTCAATTGCATATGTAGGTGCAGAGTGTATTGTCGCTGACAGTCTATCTATATCTAATGATATCTGCATCTCTGTTATGTATATTTCTATAGGTTTTTTACTTGAATTTTTAAAAAAGCAGTAGCGTTTTTGGAAGCAATAATGTTTGGGTCAGCTAATTTGATGTTGCTATGTAAACAGATTTCAGAAACCTCCTCAATTTGTTTTATTTTGTTTTCCCATACCATAAGATGCAGTAAAGGGTTGGTTACAATCTTCCTTATCTTGAAGGTGGGCTCTGATGGCCTACTAAATAATGACTTTAGTAAAAGCTCACCAAAGCTTGTTGCTAATTGTAATGCTTTCCCTTCTCTCTGTTCCAGCTGAGACAATCCCAGTCGTACTGCACAGACACAGAATGCCTTCAGGAATGTGAGTAACGACGGAGATCACATGTGTGGAAGGAAAACAAACAGCAGTGATTAGAATACCTTTTGACTGGCCTTTGAAATTGATTGGGGTTGATTTAACACTAAATGAACATATTAAACTAAATGAAAAATGCCGCAGACATTGTGTGGGGGAGGTAGTTTCAGAGCACTGGTGGTTCAGATTAGCCCTTGTGTGTTGAAGCACTGTGTGGAAGGGGCAGCAGTGAGCAAACTGGAGGCGTCAGGATGGCAGCAACACCCATGATCAGGCCCCAAACTTTATTTAATCCTAGCACTAGCCTCCAAGGAAAATAATTTCAATTTTTCCCCAGAGAGAGAATTTGGGGAGGGACTTTATTTGTCCCCCTAGATTGAAGGCAGCATAACCAGCAGAGATTGGTGATTCTGCAAAATCACAGCCAGGGCCGAGCAACTTACTGTCATTTCTGTGAACCCTCTATTCTGCCTTTAGGAAGACTAGACTCCCCTCCAGCACTAGCTGATGAGCTGACATACCCTGAGACTGCGTTTTTGTATGACTTGGTAGTGGCGTAGTTGATGCAGCAGAGTGCTACTGAGTTGCACACTTCCTTGAATTTTCTCTGGAACACATTAAAAAAAACCCTCCCAAGCAGTGAGGATTATTAGGATAATCAAATACTATCAGCTTCTGCAAGGCTGCGTAGCTGTGCAGAGGTTCTGCAGTAATGTAAGTGTGCCTCAAGGCACTCTGTTTACACTTTTCATGGTCTACAGGGAACGTCGCCAAATGCTTATAAATAAAAATTAAGTGGATCTGTTTTTCCTGTATTGCTTTACCAATTGAGCGTATGAACTCACTCAATTAGCCTGCATTAGGATTACTGTAAGACTGCAAGGGAGCAGGCGGCACCTGAGCAGAGCTCCTGGAAGCTGCTGGAGATCCGCTGCTGCTCATGTCTTCGGCAAGTCCATGAGCAGAGCAGTCAGCCTTGCCAGGATGGTGGGGAGAGGACATCACCTGCATTTTCTCCCATGTTCCTCACTGTTCAGTCCCCAGTAAACCATTTTAGAGCCGGGCAGCTAGCTTGTACTTCATTCTTTGCCATCTTCCCAGCGTTAAATTGTCCCAGTTTCATTGCCATCGTGGGCTGAAGGGATAAAGCTATGGCTATTTCCAGGTATTCCCAGAAAAATAGAGTTGGAAAGATATATGCCAAAACCATGCAGCTGGCTTTACTCTTGTGCTTTCCAAGTTATGCTGCGTGTTTGAGCCTTCCAGCATCCCTGCTCTTCCAAGTGCACCTGTCCTGGAGCAGACTTCTGTAGCTTCCTAGACTTCTGCACTTCTGTGTCTAGTTTCCTCTCGAATCACATGCTCCCAAATGTGGGAAAGAAGCAGTGATAAGAGGCAAAATACTTCTCGTGTTTGAAGTAGACACAGATGGGCTGTGCAGCCTTCTGAGCTGTAGCCCAGAGTTGAAACCAAGTGGTAGGTCACTGTCACTCCAGGCATGGAAGTCTTAGTTCATCAATATTCATGAAGCTTGGAGGCTGAAGACCATTAGAAATGAATAAGTTTCTATGGGAACAAAGTTTTTGTGATCGTTTTCATGCTACCAAGGTGTAGTACACTAGAGATATGGATGGTTCATGGTAAATAGCTTTCCATCCTGAAAGGATCCTTGCAATAACTGTGTGCAGATGCAAGCAATTTGGCAGCAATTATTATAAGCCAGTGATTTGTTAAAAAAAAAAAAAAAAGCAAAAAATATAGAGTAAATCCATTCTTATGTTATTATATTGTCTTCGATTTAGTTCCAGCAGAGGTATTTTTATGCTGATGCAATAACACTCTGGCTGCCTCTTTGATTATTCTTTTATGCTTCTGTGATTTTGTGCTTGGACTAACTTGAGCAGTGTAAGACTTGCAGGAATCTAAGGCAAAAATGAACAGGCTGAGCCTAATGGAAAGATTACAAAGACATTTTCAGAGACAGACATTCAGGGCCAGCTCCATGAAAACTGCTTCCACTCTCCTGTCCATAACTTCATTTCAGTTCTGTTGAAGTATATCATGATGAACTTGGATGATGTTGAACTATATCATGATGTGTCTTGGATGGATGTCCTCTTCCCATGGTCCTGCAGCTCCTTTTTCTTCCGTATACTGACTCTGTTTCATCATTCCAGGGTTTTGATATGAGAAAGCTTGTTTTACTCCCACCCATTTGCTCATTCCCTGGCTTTGCTTTCCCTTTTGGAAGTACAGCTGGGAATGTTGTCATACACGGATTCTTAAGTTAGAAGGTTGTGGAATAACTGATGTGTGTGGTTTTGTTTTGGGAAACACGAGGGCAGTGGTTCAGTCAGTGTCAGAGCAGCATCATGTGTTCTGCTGCTGCTACCAGCTGGAAGTTCTCAGGAACACCCTATGTCGATTCCTCCTTGAGTACATTTCGCTTCTTCAACTCCTGATTTCAAATGGTATTTAGATTCCTGGAGCCGCATAAAAACAGCAGCACCCAGTATGCGTAGGGGGCTCTCTCACATTTTTATGATACTCTAATTTTATGATATCTCTAATTTCTTTTATGCTGTTGTTAGCACCATTCTGTTTCAGTGACTGTAATGCCAAGAGTTTCCTGTCAGAGGGTTCCACTGCTTTTGGATTTGTCTCTACATACTCTATATGCTCTCTATATAGGAGCGTATGAGCACCACTTCAGAGGGCTTTTGGGTCCTGTGCTTACTGGTTGATTCCCCTGCTGGTTCTTCCTCAGAATATCTCCTTATAGCTCTCACATTGACTCTCCCCCCTGTTTCAGGGGGTGCCTTGGAGAAATGAGGCTGAAGGTTCTAAATATGCAGCACATTTAATATTCTATAGGGATTCTTCATGGCCAACACATCGCAAGATCTTAGAGTCTGAGGAATAACAGTGGTAATTCTTTCCTGAATTCTGTCTAATGCAGATGTAGGGTAGTGGAGCTAGGAGGATTTCCCTGAAAGGGGCTCCTGTTGCCACACCAGTAGTTTACTCAGCAGAGGGAGGATCCCAGGCTGATGCTGAGCTGCTCCGATGGCTCATAGCTCTCCCAAGGCAGCCTGTCATGTGGCAGGGAACTAGGGGGCACTGCCTAATTTTCTTTTTCCTGTATATTTCAGCAACTCTCAGATGGTGTCACCTGAATTTACCACATTCATATTTTTTTCCAAACTGGTGGTTTGTAGTATTAACAGTCAGAGATTTCTATCCCAAACGCTGTCTGCCCTACTTCCAGCTTTTTATGTATTTTAAAATGAATGTGTGATTCACCTTGAGCTGTACTCATGTAGGAGAGCCACAGCAGCCTGGCCTAACACCACGGAATGTCTGCCAGCTTTTCCCTCCCTTTTCTGGTAATTCCCTTCTTCCTTCCTGTACTTGGTTCCTTTTGGCTCTCCTCAGCTTCCCTATCCATGCCTTTGAGAAAGTCAGCTCCACAGGGATTATCTCCTGAGAGCCCACAGGCTCTTTCTCTTCCCTGTTGATTCATCTGCAGAACACTTCTAATAGTGTGTCCTGCTTTATTTATTTATTTATCCCCTCTATCTGAGATTAGGAAGGACTAAAAACACTGTGGAAAGAAGACACATGTCAGAGCAGCTTTTTGCCTTTCCACAGCTGGGTGTTACACAGCAAAAGCTTGAGGGGAGCTGAAGGAGGAGAAGACAGAAAACACTCAGGAGATGCCTTTTTGCAGCAGAAGAAAGGCTGTCTTCCCTCTTTAGAGTGCAATACTCATTCTGAACTCAGAGGAATGAAAACCAGCACTTTAAGAGCAGATCTAGCCTGATTTAACAAGGGCATTTATTTATTTTAATGTTCATACTCTTAAAATTTTGCTTGCATAGTGGCTGACTTTAAATCTTCAGAAATGGGTTTTACCAACCTCATCATTTTAGTAGTTTTGACTGTCTTGTAATAGAACACAGATTGAAGTGGCAAACATCTGTCACATAAAATTTCTTTTCCCTTCCAGGCTGTCTCAGGGACAAGACTAGTTTGTGTGGCCTAGTGTTGATTTGCAGCTATTAAAAGCACCCATCACTCTCCTTTTCTGTAGGAGAAGGCAAGCCAAAGATTTTATGTCTTGTACCTGGTCCAACAAGAAGATTGGCTGTGGTCATTAGCTCCCATGGGAGCCCATCCCACAGTTTGAGGGCCTCCTCATAGAGCCTTTTCCTCTACAGAGATAACTCAGCCTTGGTAAAAATTTTGTTCCAGATAATCTGAGGAGCAGAACTGCCCACAGACTTCAATGAGACTAATGTGGGTATAGAGGTAGGCTGAGCCCTAAGAACCAGCTGCTTTGAAAATAAAGGTATTGGACTAAATTCATCATTCTTTGAACAGCCAGCTTAGAGATTAAACCTGGCTTAGAGTGTTAACATAGGTTACATTCTTTCATAGTTGGTATCTACAAAGTATTGAAGTTTAATAACCAGATTTTGCAGTAGCTGACGTGGAGGGCGGCAAGGACATTCATCTTTGAGGCCAGGATGGGACGATTTCTTAGCCATCTGTAAGAAATAGAAGACATCACTGGCACTTCTGTAGGACAACCTTGTCCCATCACAAGGAATCAAAGAAAAATAAGAAATAATAAAAAAAAAGCTCCTGAATTATACGCAAAAATATCAATTATAGGTAAAATTACTATGCGCATGAAATAAGAGGTTTCTTTTGTTTCTTCTGTTTTCTTCTGCCCATCAGCATAAGTTTCGAGCCTGCTTGATTTCGACTTCAGACAACTGTTCTCCATCGCTAAGCTGGTCTCAGCTGATTATTTTGTCATCTCCGTGACAGAGCTCTTTGTAGTGAAAGGTTTTTCTTCTGCATTATTGATCCCAGGAGCTGTAACAGCTTCTTGGCTGTTCTCTTGATTCGTGATGCAAGGCTTGGAAAAGTGTGATCTATCCCAGCTATGTGAGACTTCACATATCCTCTTCTCCTTATGTCAAGAGATTAAAGAAGCAGATTCTGAAATATCTCACATCCTTATTAAAACACATGGTCTTTTGTAAAAAAAAAAGGGGGGGGGGGTGGTTAGCGGTGCTGGGACAGTATAAACAGTGTCAGGACTGTGTTAGGGCTGTGCTAAATCAGCTGCTTCTGGCTTAACTTAGTCCAGAATGTGTTTCAGCACGCTTGGCTCCATGCAAAGGGCCTTGCAACCTGGCCTAGGTAGAAGCCACATCTGGTAGGAGGGCCTGAGCTTTCCCTTCGTGCTTCCTTCTGCTCCCTTCTTTGACCCGTAGCATGAACTGACCCAGCAGCATTTCCTTAGCCTAAGTCTCATGCAAACGAGGGCCCTAAATTATTCTGTGCTGCAGCAGAACTCCAAGCCCTCGCAGAAGCCAGCCTGGCTATGTAATTGCATATACTGTTCTGAATCACTTTTATGTTAGAATTTAATGAATTTAAAACTGTAACGTACTCACTGATTTTGTTTCCACTTTACCTTTGCCTCATGCAGAGCAGCCTGCGTGGCTGTCACTAAAAGAAATGCCATTTTAATTAAATATGCTTTTTATTAAAATTGCTCTATACTAGCAACTTCTTTAGTTGCTAGTATAGCAACTAAAATAGAGACATTTAGAAATGTTTCTATTTTGGACATTTAAAGATGGAGCTCTATTAGTTCTGTTTGCTTATAAAGCAGTAATGATTCCACTGATGCTATGGAAAGTCTGAATTCCCATTATCCATTTTTATTTCCCATGTAATGTTGGCAAAGGATGTCAGTCCACCAGCTCTGCCTTGTGAAAGTCTTATCCGCAGAACAGCTGTGTTGTGAATGGAATATCCATAGGCTTCTCCCAGATGGTGATTGCACTTGTCTTGTCCCTAGGGAGGCCTCGTAACCTGCCCACTGCTGGGTCTTGGCTGCGTTTTGAAGAAACGGCCTTCAAAGATGAACTTGGATTAAAAATGTTGCCCAGGAGGACAGGGGTGAAAATGTTTCCATTTTCACCCCTGTCCTCCTGGGCAACATTTTTAATCTCATATCAGCATTAACCTTCAAATGAAATGGCTAACTCCAGCAGTTCTCTGGGTATAAATTAAGTAGCAAATGTTAAATCATAACAACTTCCAACCAATACTGAAGCAATCTAGACTTGACGCTGCAATAATGAGATGATTTGATGAGACAACTGAAAAATCTGATAGATACCAGTCTGCATGTGGAATTTCTCCAGGCATTGATGTTTTCAATGTTGATAATAAAATAGAGTAGCCCTTTCTTGTACTGAAGGTAAATTCATTATAGTGTTGATTAATTGGCTTTGGAAACAAACTGGTAATGCTGACAGTCAATGGCAGATTTTCTTTTGGATTCACAAAGTGTACTTTCAGGAACCAAGATAAAAGTGCACACAGAAGAAAATTTGCCTTATACAATATTTTTAAAGTGCTTTAATAATTTTATAGAATAGAATTGGCAGCAGAAAAAAAAAATAAAAAGCAAGCTAGTTAGCAGATGAAGGTGTTAATCACGAGAATTGAGTTGAGCTCTGTGTTTGGGCGCAGGCTTCCTGTGTGGCAGTCAGGCCGTGTGGTCTGCTGAAGCCCAGCAGTGTTGCTCTACCGGGGGAATAAATGCAGTGAATGCTCAGATACAGACACATAAATGACATTGATCATTAGCTGTGTATTTATTTACACTTCAGTTGACAACAATAGTTACAATTTTATTTGAAACCAAGTTTAATTGAAATAGCTCTTGAATGTGCTGGGGTTTTTTGTTTGTTTGCAAGGCTTTCTTGATCCAAAAAGAACAACCAACCACCTCCAGCCTGGGGAGGGGCAGATTTCTTTTCATTTTTATTTCCATTCTCTGAAGTCTCAGCCATTCTTTTTGGCAATTAGATGTAAAATTTGCATATTACTCCTTGGCTTTGCTTTTTTTTTTTCCCCCTCATATGTCTCACGAGCATTTTGTTTCCCCTTCCAGCAATTCTCTTTTACTTGATGTTATCAGAAATACCACATGACCTGTATGACCAGTCATGGAGATTTGGCATCTCTGTCACTGCCACTTGTCTGAACAAATCCTCAATAAACAACTTCAAGAGTTAGCTGCTAACATTAACCAGCACAGTTGTAAGCATTAGCTTGCTTGCTTCTTACTAGAATTACTATCTTCTCTTTGGGCAAACACAAAGTTTAAGCTGTGGTCTCTAATGCCACCAGCTTCTGGAGTCAGATTTTTGCATCTGGGTGGGAGAGCTGATGCTTTTACCTGGGGCTACAACGTGCTTGGCTTTGTGCTGCACAGCTCGTTCCACATGCCAGGGAACAGCCAGGTCCCCAACCTGGATAGTCCGGGGACCAGGATCACGGGCCACATCAAGGAGCACCGATGTTGAGATGTCTCTCCAGAAACGGGGCCCTGCTGCTCCCTGACCGGAGCGTCGGCTCTGTTCCCAGAGCAGCCTCATGTGCACGCACAGCACCTGGGTCTGCAGTGAGCCCGGCTTATCCGGGCAGGATAATGGCTTAGCATTCTCCCTGCAGGAGAGCTCAGTCTGGGAAGGAAAGGACGGAAGTAGGAGGGAAAAATATATATTTGTCTTAAAGCCAAAAGAAAGGACAAGTGAAAAAACCTGACTGGCACACAAATTTTAGATTTTCCTGAGAAAACCACAGAATAATTGAGGCTGGACCTTTGGATGCATGTGTTTTCATTTTGGGAAAAGACTTCTGCTATCTCTTTGTTTTATAACTTGAGTTTCCCTTGTCCGTAGTGCCAGGACCAAATTCCTCCAGTGACAATGGCATCAGCTTTGCCATGATCATGATGGCCTGGATGGTGATTGCGCTTGTCTTGTTCCTGCTGAGGCCCAGTAACCTGAGAGGATCCAACACAGCTGGAAAACCTTCCAGTCCACATAACGTACGTGTGTCTTAAAATGCCTGCAGACAGACTCTGCAATAACCTACATTTGATTGTTTTTACTAAAGACTAAATATGCTACTTTTTTTTTTTTTAACTTTAATTTGTTTTTTTTTTTTCTGTATTTTCTCTGGTTGGAGCAGTTGTCATCAATGTAAGGGAAAAAAAAACATAGATTTTGTAGAAGCAAACAAAATTACAGCATGAAATTTTGGGAAGAGCATCTTTGACCTCACTGGGGGGTGATGGAAAAGACCTTTCGAGGCAGCGAACAGGACTGTCATTTGATGCTCGTGTACTCTGAATATTGAAATAGAGTGCGAAAGGTCTTAAAAGCGGGTTTCTTTTCTGAGTTCATGTATTTTTATTGCCAAGTGTGCCCACATGAAGCACTGTTTCTAATCTGGCGTGCGCTTTTCTTTCTTCCTTTCTTCCCCTAGGGACAAGAGCCACCAGCCCCACCTGTGGACTAGAGCCTGCAGTATTGGAAAAGTTCAGCAGCTAAAACCTTGCACGACCAAATGAACGAAGTGACCAGATTGCTCCTAAATCCCATTCAATCCTGCTTTCTTTTCTCATTTACATACAGTAGAATTATCAGTCGGCGGTTATCTTCATGGACTGCTTTTAGCTACTTAAATTTTAAGTTAATTTTTGCTTTTTATGTAATTACCATTTCAAGTAGGCGATAATTCAATTAAATGATAAGGCATTACAGGGGTTTTTTGGTTGCTACTGTAGCTGTGGATGGTTCCACTCAGCTTCTTTCTGTTACAGCAATCTTAATTTCTTTGCAGTGGTTTCTAGTATCCATTGAAGGAAAGTGAAAATCCCTGTGCATCTATAAAAATGGAAGGTTCTGACCATTCTTCAGATTAATCCATTTTTTTTTCTTCAATATATTTTTGAGAGTTATATTATGGCTTCAATTATTAGTTTAGTGATGTGGTGAAAATAAATAAATAAATAAATTATTTTGTATTTGCCCTGAGTTCAGAGCAGCTTTTAGTCAGGTCTTTGGACCACTAACATAGTTTTCAGGGGTTTTGGCAAAATCATGGATTGTCCACTAGAATTCGAGTATGGGTGTATGTGTGCCAAGAAGTGAATGTGACAATTGCCACTGTCAAAGCCTTTGCTTATATATTGGAACCTTTACAAAAAAGATTATTCCACCAAAAATGAACATAAACTAATCTTTTAATAAACGATATATTTTAGTCGGTGTATTGTCAAAAACAGTTTATTCCGAAAACTATTTTGTTTGCTTAAAAATCTTATGAAAAGAGAAATCTAGTGCTAAGCACTTGCTATAATTTTCTGTCCTGGATACAATCTTTCAATAATCAGTATCTTAACAAATTTTTAGCCGTGATGCCGTGATGTGATAGATGGGATGAAATCCTACCAACAGGCTACCAGCTCCCAAGACAGCACACATATACCGGAGGTCCAGGTATTTTCCTGTGTGCTATCAGCAGTTCCTCACATTTCATCCTAGCTTGCTGGCTGTAACTGTAGAATAATAAGATATTAATAATATTTCAGCTAATATTTCAGGTGTCCCCCCAGGGCACGTCTTTCCCCTCTCATGGCTGTGTGTGCCTGCGTGCGGTGTGCGTTTGTGTCTGCGAGGACATGTGGCTGTGCACGTATCCGTGCACATCACCCATTTTAGCAAATGGGAATGACTTTTTTATGTACATTAATTTAAGGACGTTTTAAAGATGTACAGAAAAGTGACACTGTATATTTTTCTTGATTCATTTGGGAAAAAAAAAAAAAAGATGAGAATAATGTAAAGAGCATTTTTGTGTTACCAACATGGAGCTTCTTTCTTTAAAGGTCAGTAGAACAGGCTTGTGGGAATTCAAAGTCTTGCTCTACAAACCTTTATTTCATGAGGATTTTAGTTGCTCAGTGGAAGGCAGTAGCTGTTCACGTGCATAAAGGTTTGTTTTAACGAGCTCTGACAAACTCTCGTGTTGGATCCCATGGCTGATAGACACAGGGCTTTCCTCCTCAGGGTAAATGACAGGCCAGCTCAGCCTGCTCGCAAGGCTGCAACGTAGACCTGAAGAAAGGCTTCTCCAATTAGACCTAATTGCCCATTGAATTTCCGTGGAACAGTGTGCTCCCAAGCAACATGTGTTTTAAAATGTATTGGAGCATGTGTTTTAAAGAAACAAAAATGAGGAAGAGTGGGTGGATGCTGTCGGCCGCCTCCGTGGCCCCAGTTCTTCACTACTGGATGCATAAAACAAGCTCCTGATTGATTAAATAACCCACTAAACCAGGCTTCATTTCAAGTCCCGCTGAAGTCAGTGAGATTTACAGCAGATCCTCCTTACTTCTAAGGATCGCTCTTGCTTTACGTTCGTGTCTGTGCAGGTATTTATAAAACCACCGTGTGCACCCAGCTCCGATGGTCTCAGCAAAGGAACGTTTTGTTCAGAGAGAGAAATGTTGTGTTTTACATTTAAATGAAGTGTCTTTGCTTGAAATTCCTCTTAAGTAATTGTCCCAGTGACTTTATACATGTATGCTTTCCTCGTGTAAAGTGCTATTTTAAATTTTCTATGTAAAAGAAGGACATTGGAAATATTTTATTGTAAAACGTTTTGCTGAAGAGCCAGGCCACTATCCCACGTCCAAATGTATGCCTTTTAAATTCGGAGAGACTCTCTTCAGGACATGACCTGCAGATCACCACTCTTTAATTGGAGTAAGAGCAACTAATTATAGGACTGTATTTTGCCACTCTTATTCATGTTAAATAGTGCCTTGCTCACCAAGTAGTTGCACTGAAGTTTGTGGCACTACTCTGAGATAACGTACTAGCAGCAGCTCTAGTAAGGGTGGCAGAAATCTGGCCTTTAGTGATGTAGTTTGAGGTGAAATAATCGGGTTGTGGTTGCAGATGTTTATGGTAAATTTGGGAAAGAAGTGGGGAAGAGATTAGTGGGATGTGAAGCTTCAGGATATGATTAATTGTGTAATAAGGGTTTTAAGCTCAGTCAGAGACAAGTTGTAGCAGCTTGGGAAGTACGGAGGACAGTTTACAGTTAGACTTTAGCTTAGAACTTGTTAAAACAATAGTATTTTTTTAGAGTCTGCTTAACACAATAATTACGCTCTGAAATGAGAAATCATATGTATTCATGTATTTTCTGCGGATCACTAGCCTTGTAATGTCCGTTATTGAGAAAGGAAGAGTGATGATGTGATGTACCTAATGTAAAAATTGGTGGTTTCAAATGTCTGACTTATGCCAAACAAAAATCATCTGTGCCATTTGCAGTTTCCTAGTGATCTTTTACTGAGTTGGATTGGGATAAAGGGCTTGTACTATGCACTTTTTATTGACTTAACAAAATAAATAGCAAACATTAGTAACCTTTTGTCTGTCTGATAGATTTTTGTCTAACATGTAGGGTTGCACCAACCTACCAATTTCCAAGCTGATTTGAAGTGATCTTAAAGTATCAGTAAAATCAATGTCTTTTAAAACTTGTAAAATTAAGTTCTAGCTTTCATAATACACACGTGCCTTCTAGGTGTATCCCAATGAGGTCAGAAGAATCGTGAGTATTTTGAGGTGCTTCTGTGACCCGCGCGCATCTGAAACCCGACGTGCCCGTGATGTCACATCATTTTGGGATGAAATCCTGTTACCCCTGGGGCTCATGATTTGTTTTCTTCTAGTTCCAGTTCTCAGCAGTGACACATTCAGATCCCAGGCTTTGTCCCTTTGCATTGGATTGGGTAAGAGCAGGAAAGCAAGGAATTGTTGGTGCTTTTAATGTGCCCTCTGGAGCGACTGGCACCAGGGGACTGGGTGTTGATCCCAGGGCTGTGTCTTTCCCAGGGGGATCTGCCAGGGGAGCATTAGGGTTTCAAATACTCTGCAACTGGTCAGAGAGGGACAATAAATAGCAGGGAACTGGAAACAGAATCCGAAATGCTTTCAGCATTCTGCTTAATTTGGAAGTTTTTAATCAGAAATTGTTAATGTGGTTTGTCAGGATTTAACCTTTGTCCAGAACCTGAGGTTATAAACGTAAATAAACCTCTTAAATTAAAACTAAATTTCCTGTTTCAAGCCTTACTCATAAATGCAGTTGTTAAAATGGTTGGCAAGGATATGTGTGCCTATTATGAAAAGTCATTTGGAACGGAAATGAGAAAAACCCGAGTTTAAATTCACTGTGCTGAGCTGATCCAAATAAAGCCGGGCTGCTTGACACTGCCAGGTAAGCGGTAAGGACTGCTCTGCCTCAAGCCTGAAAGAACCTGCAAGCTTTATAGGATGCTGGGGAGAAGTACAACAAATCATCACAGCGTTATTCCATTCATGTGAACGGAGCTTCTTAGGAAAAATAAGTTCAGCTTAAACTCTTTTCTCTTCCTGCTCCTACTTATTTAGCAATAATGAAGTGTCTATGATGCAATTTACTGCAAAGATGTGGAAATTTTCTGGGGGGAAGCGTAGGACCATGTCCCGGTGAACCAATTCTGAGGGCCACCGCACACGCTCCGGCAGAAATGGTGAGTGACACGAACTGAGGATTTGGGCATTTCACACGCGAAGAACAGTTAAACCAGCCTTATTGGATCTTGTTTCAAAATTATTGCCAAATCCCCGAGCAGATACTTTGTAATGAAGGGTAGCAATTAGGATCTGGCTTCTGTGTTTCCTTTTTAGCATGTACAAAGTAGCATTAGTTAAAGAGCCTGTCTAGAAGAAACATATCTTACTAAACTGTAATAAAAATATGAATCACGGGTCTGACTTTTTAAAGGCTTCACTCTTCTTGCTTTTATGGAGAGTTCTAAAATATTTTATACTACATAATTGAAAGTACAGCAATAATTTCTAATCAGAACAACAGAACAATGTGTTCTTTTCGGGCTTGAAAACAAGTCTTCTGCATAAGTGGCTGTTGTCATTAAGGCCTGCAAGCTACACATACTGAAACAAAGAAATAAATTTCTGTGATTCTGTGGTTTCCAAGGGCTTTTAACTATTTTAAAAAACTTCTTCATAATTTCTCCTTACTAAAAATACCCTCAAAATCAAAGAAAAGATACTAGGGCCAAGAAAATCTTTCCTTAGTAGATGACCAAAAAAATATTGAATGAAATTCTGAAGGTCACAGCCATTACCTCCATATAAAAAAATAATCTTAGGAAAGATGCAATACGTCAGTTAACAGCAAAACTAGGAGATGAATGATAAGCGACAAACGGAGTGTGAGCGGCAAGAAAATGATCCATAGAAGCCCCTACAGGACAGCATACTACAGCAAGCACCGCATGCAAAACAAACAGATTGCTTTTTTTACTGTTGTTTAGAAGAGCAAAAATCTGGTATCTTCATCTCTCCCAGAGATTTCATGCCGCTTTGTTCTCCATCTTCAGTTCCCTACAGATGAAACAGAAATCCCAAGCAAGCATTTTTTCCATTTCGCCAAGCTTCACAGCTCGCACTTGAATCACAAGTGTGTCTTGTCGCCGGTGCTCCTCTGGCTCTGTCCTTCCTGGGGGTGCAGTGCGTAGGAGGGAGGCATTAAGCTAAATTTTCTTTGAGCTATTCTTTAACGGTGGATCAAATCCTCACCTTATTTTATGTGATAAATAAGGCAATAGGACAAGTCAGCTGAGTAAAACGCTTATAAGAAGTAGTGCAACAAAATGATTTCTCTCCAATAGAGCTACTTATACTGCAATTGCTTTCAGCGTTCAAGACTTCCTTTTTTTTTTTTTTTTTTTTTCCTTTTTTTTTTTTCCCCCCCCGGAAATGGTTGTTATGCCTGAAATGTCTCTCCTGTTGGGAGATTTAATATGCTTCATATTCGCAAAAGCAATTCAGCACTGCGGCTGAAGGAGCAGCTTTGATGTCTGCTCCAACGTGAGCTGGCTTTCAAAAGAACATTGGAAGGGAAAAAGAGAGGTATTTACTAAACAATAGATAAGGCCTTCAAACGTAATTGTGTCTGGGAGGAAGTGTGAATAACTTGTGTGTGTATTGAGAGACAGATTTAAATAATCCAATTAAAAGAAGGTCATATACTGGAAGACAAAACTTTGTCAAGCAAGAGCTAAAGAAAAGGATTTTCTCATCACAAGGGGCTGTTTTTCCCTTGGTTTTGGGTGGCTTTTAATCCCGCATGACTGTTGTAACAGCGCATACATGTCCAACTAAAATTATTGTCCAGACACTGCGGGCCCTACACAGAAAGACACAGTCACCCTGGCCAAAAGGATCACTGCCTTTCGGGACAGACTTTTACCAATACAGTGGAGAACAGTGGAAACAAACAAAGAACAGTGGAAACACTCCATCGGATTAATCATAAACTATTCGGGCTTTCGAGGAGCTGGAGCGCGGAGCAAAGTTGACGCCGCGCGCGCCGGGCAGAGCGGAGCGTGGGGCAACGCGCAGCCCGTCCCACTCCGTGTCCTTCCAGGAGCCCTTCCAGGCTCGGCCGGGGCTGCTGCGGATGCCAATGTGGACACAACACTGCCATCCGGATGGGTGGCATCCTGGCGTGCACACCAGCCCCATGCATGGTCTATAAGGGAGATTAGGAAGGGGCTTGGGCGCTGGTGTCGGCTGGGTCAGTGTCGGGGTCGGTGCCATAAGCGGTTACAAAAGCAGAGCTGCCTTTAGTGAGCGGGGAGCCCACGTCTGCTAGGGAAGTGCCCCAGCCTTACCCACACGCTGGGTAGAACATGCTCGCTCCCTCCGTTGCTTTCCCTTCGCCTCCCACGTCCGTGCTGCAGCTGCTGGATTACACCCTCGTGCACTCGCTTGCTCCTTCTTTGCTTCCTTTCCGCTCCCTCATCCCCCAAATTCTTCATAAATTGTGATTTCAGGCTTGCACGGTGCAAGCTCTTGTGCAGAAGCAGTGAGGAGTGTCCCCACCAGCCACCTCTGCTCCAGGCCTCTCCAGCCAGGGAATCTAGTATGGGGCAGGGAGGCACGAGAGCCTTTTTTCAGGAGACCTGAGGAAACTGGCTGGAAAAGCCTGAGGATCTTTGGATTTTACAGGATTTTGGAGCTCATCCGCTAGGACCCTCTATGGATACAGCACTAGGTTGTTAACTCCATCCTGTGCCTCTGTGTCCTAAAGCCTATGAAAACCTTTAAAAAATGCCATAAAAAGGTTGTGATTCCCTGACCCTCCTGGCATGGCTGCTTCCATTCAGGCCGTTAACATCCGGATCTGGAAAGACAATCTCCTGCAAGATATTAAAAGTAAGCAGTGTTCTCGTAAGTACAGATTAATTATAGTTGAATTATGATGCAAACGACAGCCTGTAAAACGCCAAATCCCAGCTGAATGGGAACAGCGACTCATCAGTCCTATCACCAGCCTCCTCAGCTGTGATCCCAAAATAAGACCGAGGAACTTAAGGAATGAAAAATGAGGTGAATCCTGCAGGGAGGCTCCGACCCAGTTTGCGACACACACAAGTTATTAGGCGTAGGGACTGTCCTCAGCCAAGGGAGCTCCTGGGCTCGCCGGGCGCCCTGCTGAGGTCAGGGGATCAAGGGAATATTTTAAAGTTAATCCTGCATTAATGCACATCCTAAAGTCAGGAACTGCAAAGCCAGCCTGGGCTCCTGGGGGCTGATGTGACCTCCTATCTAGCACGGGCTGCAGGATTTACACTAATTACTTCCTGTGTGCGCCACAAAGCATCTTTTGGAGGAAACTTCCAGAAAGGGTTCAGTTTCTGTGCACGGTCTCGCTGGTGACTCGTCCTTGCCGCTAGAAACGCCCATCTTGGGTCTGAATGTGCCAAGATTTTTAGCTCTTGCGTTTAGCTAGGTTGGAGGAAGGGTGGCGGACGTGTCCTGCGTTTCAGGTAAGCGGATAACGGGCTGCTCCGGACCGAACCGGCCCGTCCCGACCGGCTCCGAGCCGCGCCGCCCGAGCCCGGGCGCCCGGCGGGCCGCGGCCGGGGGGCGTGGCAAGGGGCGTGGCGTCGCGGAGGTGTCCGGCGCCCATTGGCCGGCGGCGCGGGTGGGCGGGCCCCGAGGGGCGCCTCGGCCCCGCCCCCGCGGCGGTGGGCGGGGCGGCGGGGCCGGGATGGGGCCGGGGCCGGGCGGCGCCCGCGCCACTTCCCGGCCATGGGGCGCCCGCCGCGGGGCCTTAAATAGCGGCCGCGCCGCCCGCCGCCCCCGCCGCTGCTGCTCCGCGCCCTGAGCTCCGCCGCACCGTGAGTGCCCGCGCTCCGCCGGGCGGCCCCGCTGCTCCCGCGCCGGGAGGGCGGGAAGGGTCGGGTCGGACCGGGTCGGGTCGGACCGGACCGGACCGGGGGGCGTCTCGCGGCCCCGCCGTGATCAGCGCCTCTCCCGCTCCCCCCCGCAGCGCCGACATGTTCGAGATCCGCAGGATCTGCTGCATCGGCGCGGGCTACGTGGGCGGCCCCACGTGCAGCGTCATCGCGCAGATGTGTCCCCACATCCAGGTGACCGTGGTGGACGTGAACGAGGCGCGCGTCCGCGCCTGGAACTCCGACACGCTGCCCATCTACGAGGTAGGGCCCGCGTCCCGCTCCCGCCGCCGCGCCCGCCTGCCGGGAAGGGAAAGGGGAGCCTCTGGAGCGGCGCTGGCGGCCCTGGGAAGGCCCCTCCATTGCTGTCGGATGCTGGAGGCCCTTCCAAAGGGCGTAGCAAGGGAAAATGTGGTGCTCATCTAGAGAATGAGGCTGAGGTTTTCCCCCGGGAGCCCCGTAACTGGGATACGGGATGTGGAAGGGCTGCGCAGTGACGGAGCCGTCTGCGGTGCTGGGGTGTAACGCAGGGTGGCGGGATGCGCTCCCGCTCCGAGTGCTGCCGGATCCCGCCTGGGCACTGGCATCTTGGAATCGTCATCTCATTCCCTTGCGCTGGAAGCCTCCCAGCAGGCAGCCCGGCACAGATTAAAATGACCTCTTGTAGTGTCTGTCTGTTTCTTGCCATAGAAACACTTGAAATAAGCCGTTTTTTATACTTCTCCTAGCCCTTGATAGAGTTGTAAAGAAAGGACTTTAGGTTCAAGCTGTCTTCTTCAATGGGAATGAAAGTTTGTTTTCACTTGGGTTCCTCAGAACAAGGCATGTTGCTTGGTAAATTTTCTGAACCCTGTCTGTGCATTAACACCCCTAGAGCTTTCCAAAGTTCCCTAAATCCAAGCGTGGGGCTTCGGGACAAGGAGATCTCCTTTGTCCTGTATTTGCAGAGGAAGAGGTTTATAACGCACAGTTTAACAAGAGAGGGATGAATAAAGTTCATGAGATCAAGTATTTGGTTGGAGCAAGTTAGAGCTAGTCTTGGCCTGTTAAGAAAAATCAACAAAATTCTCTGGGTTTAGTGTCATTTGTTTACAGTCAAGATGTAAAAACTGTCAAAAGTCAATTCAGACAGCTGAAAAACTGAACCTTTGCGTGTGAGGACGTTTTGTATTTTCTTTTATTTGCCTTTTGCCTTGGTGGTGTCATGGGGGACAAGGACACTCCTTTGCTTTCTAGCGAGCAGTTTTCTATCTGCCTCCTTGTAAACCATTATTGGCCCCTTTGGTGTGGTTTGTAGCTTGTTCTGCCTCAAACAACAATAAGGGTCAGAGGCAGAACAAGCTACAAAGTCTAGCAAAAATAATTAAACAACAATAAGGGTCAAATTATTTTTGCTAGACTAGATCAAGTATGTGTGATCTAGATTCAAGGAGCAGCAGCAGCAGCTTTCCTGCCTTTCCCTGCGGTGAACCTTTGCCTCTCTGGCACTTACTCGGATATCTCATGTCATGATAGGTGCTTTGTACATTGGAGCTTTGATTAGTAGGTTACAGGGCACAGCTTTTATTTTCCACCAGAAATAAAGCTTTTTTTTCCCCCCTTTGTCTCTGGCAGTTACACTTTGAATCATCTTTGTAGATCACTGTAATAGAGAGAATTGCCCATGTGCGTGTGGCCTTTTATAGCCCTTGCTATAGGGGCTGTTAGGAGGAGGGAAGGGGTTTTTGGCACCGTGTGTCTGTATCTCAAAGGGTGACAGTGATTCTGCTCGTGGTGGGTGCGGTTGTTCCATGAGCCACTTAATCTGCTCCAAACATGGGAGTGTGTCTCTCTTTGCAGGTTAGTTTGTATTGAATCAGTTTGCTAAATATGTTCGGCAGACAGCAGGATGACAGGAATGTATAGGGAAAGGAGCTGGAATCGTCTCGTTGCAGCTTAGGGCACAAAAAGTAGGACTTTCTTCTTAGGAATCCACTTAACATCCTTCTAAAGGTAGCTCTTTCATTGTTACTCATGGTGATAGAATTAAATACAAACAAAGGGGGGGGGCGAGAAGTGGTGCCTAAAATCTGAGGCGCAGATAGAAACTCAGACTTTGGAATGTCTTTGGAATAAGAACTTTTATTCTCCCTGCCCCCAAAATAAATCAACAGAATTTTACATCTGAAATGTTTAAAAATGTGTCATATTAAACAGGAAAGTGTGAGTCTGAAAAGCCATGCTGTCTGTTGGAGTATGCAGTTTGTTCTTCTAACTGTGTTAACCCTTTTCTTTTTTGTAATTTCTTTTTGCTCTTTCAGCCAGGGTTAAAAGAAGTGGTAGAATCCTGTCGAGGAAGAAATCTCTTCTTTTCTACCAATATTGATGATGCCATTAGAGAAGCTGACCTTGTGTTTATTTCTGTAAGTTTTGGGGGGAAAGGGGTGGGGATAGGGATAGGCTGTGTGTGTATGGCCACTATCTGCTCTCTTCCCTTTCGAGATTTGCTTTCCAAACAAATCATGCAGGGGAGTGTGCTAGTGAGCGAACAGATGGCAGGATCTTCCTTTGATATCTCAAGGGACTCTTAATATTTCTAAGCTGTTGGCACCAGAAGGGATACTGGCCAATTATGGACAGTATGGCTTTTATTAAAAAAAAAAAAAGTCTGTTCCTAATACAGAGTCCCAAATAGCTGACGAATGTTCAACTTCCTAAGCCACAGCCCAGTTATTTTTCTGTTTCTTAAATGCTCTCTTAAGATCCACTCCCCTATTTGAGCACCTCAGTGCAGAGTTCTCCAACTGTATCTTGCTCCATTTGTTAAGTCTGCATAGCTGGTTGCTGCTAATACAGCCTATATATTGCAATCTGGATTCCTGCCCTTAGCTGCTCTTTAAAATATTCTTTTAAGATGTACTGTGTTTTAACATGTTTTTGCTGTTTCTACTTTAAGCTTTTAATGAAAAGGACTCTGTATTAATGTAAATAGTGTGTTTTTCCCCCTCACGCTGCTTTTTTAAATGTTCTTCAGTATAGCAATATCCAGGAGCTCTGCCTTTTAACTTTCACTGCCAAGTGGGCTTAGGGATAATTACCCTACTAGTTGCAAGATTCTTCTGAAACTAACTTTTTTATGAAAACAAGAGGTGATTGTCAGGAGCGATGAAGAAATTATTGCTGTTTCCAGAATAAACACTTGGTTTTGCAGAAGCCTGTGGGACTGCTAGGATTTAAACAGGAGTAATTCATATTTGATGAACAGAGCCTAGTGAGCTTTCTGTAGAGAGCACAATGGGTAATTGAGAAACCCCCTGGCTGTTTGTCTGATGTGGTAACTAGGGTAATTGTGGTGTAGTACCAGGCTGGCCTCTGGGAAGCAAAATGTCTGTCATTCCTAACAATTTCACCTATTCAGTAGCTCCTGTATGATGAGTCTCCCCCTGCCTTCACCCTCTGCTCTTCTGTGTGTATTTTTTTTTACTAGGTTAACACTCCGACAAAGACTTACGGCATGGGAAAAGGCCGGGCAGCTGACCTGAAATACATCGAAGCGTGTGCTAGGAGGATTGTGCAGAACTCAAATGGCTATAAGATTGTTACCGAGAAGAGCACGGTTCCAGTGCGTGCCGCAGAGAGCATCCGCCGCATATTCGATGCCAATACTAAGCCAGACTTGAATCTGCAGGTAAACCTAGTCTGAGTTTTGTGTTTAAACGTTGGTCTCTTTGATTTTACCTGTTATGTTCTTCAATCTTTACTTCAAAGGCTGTTTTTGTGTCTACAGGTGCTGTCTAATCCAGAGTTCCTGGCAGAAGGGACAGCAATCAAGGACCTGAAGAACCCCGACAGGGTGCTCATTGGTGGAGATGACTCTCCAGAGGGGCAGAAAGCAGTCCGGGCTCTCTGTGCTGTCTACGAGCACTGGGTGCCCAAAGAAAAAATCCTCACAACCAATACCTGGTCTTCGGAGCTTTCTAAACTGGTGAGTATGATTAGGTATTAGGTCATTTTGCTTTAAACTCATTAGCTTGGATGTATTAACAATGCTGTTCCCATCAGAAGTTTCTGTATATTCAAGTAATGCTAGTTATTCTGGGTGCCAGCTCCATACCTGCATCCTGATGTCTTGCCTTCCAGAAGAGCTAAGTAAGTTCTCTGTGCTGTGTTTTTTATTTACAGGCAGCTAATGCTTTTCTCGCCCAGCGAATCAGCAGCATTAACTCAATCAGTGCTCTGTGTGAAGCTACAGGAGCAGACGTTGAAGAAGTGGCGAGAGCTATTGGAACAGACCAAAGAATTGGGAATAAGTTTCTCAAAGCCAGTGTTGGTAAATGAAGTCTTCTCCCTTCTGGGATTTTGCTGGGTAGCACAGTAGGTTTAGCTGTGTTTGAAAAGAAATGCTGTGATAATTTCATCTCCTGAAGCATCACAGGATGAAAAAACTACTGTAGAATACTAGTATAAAGCCACTTTGATGTTACAATCTCAAAGATGAGTTTGAACTTGACCCTGACAATCTGAAGCACAAGAATTCAGAGTGCGTGCTTTAATTCAGACTTTATTACTAGAAACTAAGATGTGATAGAATTGTTGATCATCACAGAAATCTTTCCTCTTCAATGAAGAGAACTAAAACCTATGTTTATGGTCACACTTCTCATGCTAGAGAGGCTTTTGTTCTTTTAATCACACTACTAAATGCAGTCTCTTTTGCAAGCTTCGAAACCAGTGACAGGCAGATAGTAAGTATGTTTTTCACAATGCCCATTAGGTCATTACAATCCTCCCTGCAGTGTGTTTCTTCTGGGACTCTGCAGAGCAGACTTGTAGGGAGTGAGGATCTCTTTAATTATCCCTGTCCCTTAATTAGCTGTAGTTCCTGAATATGATTAAATGTTAAGCTTAAATGGGGAGAGGGGTCAAAAGGTTATTAAAGTTGATATTTATTCATCTGAACCTTTGGGTGAGAGAAGAGCAAAGTCAGGAGCTTGTTTGCTCTTTTCCACAAGATGAAAATCCAGTGGCTGTCAAGTGCTACATCTTCACTTGAGATGTGGTTAATTTCCAGTGACTTTGGTGGGTTTTATGGGCTTTGGTGGCCACCAACATAAGTCAAAGGGTCAGAATTTAGGAACTTCCAGTTTGCTGAAAAGAATAGCAACAAATTATTGAGGGGGAAAAAACTCTAAATACTATAGGAATGACTAACTAGTTAGTTCTGAAGATTTGGTTAGTAGAATAATATTGTACTGGCATAAGCTGTAGTGTGTTTGTCTTTTCTTTTAGGATTTGGAGGTAGCTGTTTTCAGAAGGATGTTCTGAATTTAGTGTATCTCTGTGAGGCGTTGAACTTACCTGAAGTAGCTCGCTATTGGCAACAGGTATGAGGACATCATTGCTATTTTGTGCCAAGTAGGTGTTTCTTCATTACGTAATGAACTCTCAAGAACTGTGTCCATACTGTCTCTGTGCCTTAATGTTGGCTGTGGTTACACTTCAGGGGCCTCCTCCTAACTTAAAGGTTTGAAACTTACAGGTGCTTCGGCTTTGTATTTGGGGAAAAAATTCCTGACCAAAACCTCTGAACTGGGAAGTTCTGTAGAAGCAGTGGTAGAAAATCTGAGGTGTGGAGATGGACCTGGTCTCCTGCCTTCCTCTTGAACTTTTTCTGCTCTAAGTTTGCAGCTTTTCCTGAAAATCTACTCCTATATCACCTCTTCTAAAACCTCATCAGAACTTGCTGTTTTTCTTGAATCAGTGTGGTTGCTGATGTTTCCTAGTTAATGTTAGGAGTGGGTGATTTGGGGCCTGGCACATCCACAGTGGCGCTGGGTTGGTCAGTTTGTAGTGGCAGGTACTACCCTGCTAGCTCAGGATTGCCTTGGCCCTTCTCTGCCAGCCCTCCTGACTGAGGAAGCCACTGATAGACGTGGTATGGCAAGGACAAATTATTTGGCTTATTGGCTGGGCTGAGGCTGTGATGATCAGGTACAAGGCTGCTTGGCAAGTATCCTCAGATAGCACTGATCACACTGACTTGTTTGCCTTAGTACTCTCCCTTCTCTAGAGTCTCCTTCTGGTTGTCCTTTTCCCTCAACTTCTCTGATGTAGTTGCCTGCCAAATAGACAACTCGCCAAAATTAATTACTCTTCCACCACTGATCCCAATAAGCCATCCCTCTCTTGTCAGCTTCTTATCACATCTGTGACATCCAACAATTCTTCCTGTCATGTCAGGAGTTCTCCACATGCTTTTCAATGCTGTTCAATTAACATAACTTCAGGCTACGGTCAAGTCAGCAGCCTCATATTGTTGCAGCTCTGTAACAGTTAAATCAGTTGTTTTGAACAAGGAAGGAAGACGTTGGTTTTATGCCATTTGAAGAGGTTTGTATTGACATATTCCAAGAATGTCCTTCATCAGGATAGACTAGTTGACAGTGAACACTTGTAATCCTGTCCAGTGGAGCTGGGACTTTGTGTGTGTGTGCCTCCAGGAGGGATTTTGTGGAACATGTAGGATGCAGTGCATTGACATGAAAAAGAAGCCCAAGGTTCTCATATCCAAGAACTGCTATTTACAGCAGTTTTGCTTGAAAAATGCAAGCAGACAATTCCTGGAGCAAGCTGCTGCAAGAACTAACAGTGCTACTTAAGTAATATTAATATAATGAATAGTGGGGGGAAAAAATCCCTTTTGAAAGACAAGGGACAAATTGGTTTGGCTCGCTGCTGCTTGAGATCCCAAGGATACTCCTGAGAGTGCAATCCAGTTGGATCTTGGCAACCCAAAGGATGAGAAATATTTGTCTGTGGGTGTGGGTTTCTGTCCTCTAAAAAAATGCCTGAAGATTGCTTTGTTGGTGTAAGCAGACTAATTTAAACCATTTTAAATGCTTGAGCGTGCTCTAATGCTGCTTCAGGAGTTGCAGATTATTAGCTGCAGACAGATCAGATGGTAGAAAGAGTTGCTACTGAGGTAATGCAGAGTGTCCTTGTTGTGTAATGCAGCTCCCCTCTGCATCCTCTGTCTCCTTAGCCCTTCTGGAAGGGGTCTCTGCTGCTGCAGTGCACACAGGTCGGCTGGTGCAGCCAGCTAAACCCTCTCTCCTTGGTGGCCTGAGCACTGCTCTGCCAGCAGCCCTAGCCCATCTCAGTGCATGTGTATAGGTGACCGGGTGCTGAGCACAGAAGATATGACAGGGACTCCAGATACCAACTGCTGCTGTGTCTGGCCTATAGATAGGACAGGGCCTGCACAAAGCAATGAGCTGCGTAGGGAAACGCATCCCTCTTACTCTGACACCTATTACTTGCTCTGTCTACTCTGCTGGAGTGCATAAATCTCACTGCTCGCTAACTATGAGTCCTTCTCAAAGAAACCTGGTTCACAGGTACCATTTTTCTGTTTGCCCCATGCGTTCTACAAGCCACTGCTAGGTCTTACTTTGGGCTGAAATCTGCTCAAAATCAAGAGGAAAGTATAGTTCTCTCCAGGCTATGGTGAATTCTGACTAGCTAGAAGAACCTCTCTCCCTTCACCTAGCAGTGGTCTGGCATCTTTCTGACCAATGCTAAGGATTGGAGACTCCAAGAAACAAACTGGGGAGGAAGAGTCTCCTCCCATCAGGCTGAGTGTAACCCACTTACATTAACAAGAGACTGAAAGGCCTCACTAGTGCTATTTATAACAAAGCTTTGTGCATGGAAATCTGTGATAACGTGTATAACAACACCTGAGGGATGTCCAACCATGGCATGAGCGTTGGTCTGGTGATGGGATGTCCTTGTGTCAACAAGTTATCACTTTGTAGACCTGTGTAACACTAGGCTGCATTACGTGCTTCTTGTGTGCTGTGCTTGTGTAGAGTACCTTTCTCCTCTTATTTTTTCCCCTCTTCTTTTGGAGGAAAAAAACCTCCAAAAGAGGTTTTGAAAAACTCTAGCCTTTGAACTAGATAAATTGAGAAAGCTTGTATGTGAACAGACACTGATTGAAATAAAATAAAAATTTATAAATCAACTAAACTTATGTCATGCTCAGTAAAGATACTTGTTTCTCTCACAGTATCTTTTAATATTAAACTTCTGTGTGGCTAACTTGACTTGAACTTCTCTTTGTTAAAATGATGTTGGTTGCTAGTAAGATCAGTGTAGTTGAAAATGGCTGCTTTTCAAACAGTTGTGTTATATGTGATTTCAGGTAATAGACATGAATGACTACCAGAGGAGGAGATTTGCCTCTCGTATTATTGACAGCTTGTTCAATACCGTCACTGATAAGAAGATTGCTATTTTAGGGTTTGCATTCAAAAAGGATACTGGAGACACAAGGTAAGAAAGCAACTTTAATGTGGCTGCCCTATGTTTATCATCAGCTATACAGTTAAAAACACCAATTATGTTAGTGAAAACAGATCAGATAAGGGGTCTTAAACATCTAGTGACTGAATTGGTTTGTAACTGGGGTTTCTTCAATGGGGAAGGCAGTTTATTCTTGGTCTCTAAGACTTAAATTATTCTACGTTGCATCAGATCCTTATTACTTGTATAAACTAAGGTGCCTTATGAATGGAGTCTTTCTCTCCTCTATAGTAAAGCATGCAAACATTTGATGTTTGGCAGCTGGGAGTCAGCAGCAAAGCTTCAGCCATTTCCTAAAGGCAACTCCTCTGCTTTCCTGTAGAGGCTGATCTTGGTGTCTTCTCTTCCCATGCTCACAGACATGGTGCCTTGTTAATTATGGTCAGTCAGAATCCTAGGGCTTAGTGTCTGTCTTATGCGTGAATTGGCAATAGTGATAATTCTGAGGATATTTTTTTTGTCCTTGGCCTCCCTGAAGACTCTTTTTTTTTTTTTTTTTTTTTTTTGTGGATTATCACTCAAATGTACAAAGCTAAGACAGCATTTATACTGGCTCTACTTCAAAAACATCTCATAGACACTTGAAGATTTTATTGTTCAGAACGAACCTTTTGATTCTTCAAGTGGTTGATTTGCTTCCCCAGGGAGTCTTCCAGTATCTACATTAGCAAGTATTTAATGGATGAAGGAGCAAAACTCCATATCTATGATCCTAAAGTACCTAAGGAGCAAATCATGTTGGATCTTTCACATCCGGGCGTCTCAGAAGATGACCAAGGTAGGAATGTTTGTGGGAAGTTTCCATATTCTGCACCCTTTGAGAAGAGGTTATCTACCAAGAAGTTAATCTCCCCATTCCAGGGATGTGCTGCTGGCTGTTTTTTATTAATGCAGAGATTTGTCATAATTCAGAGGATTAAACTTCCCTCTCTCTGCTTTGCATTTTATGAATAAATGCAAATTGTACCAATGTGTGTGAGGGGTGGTTTAAAAAAAATCATTTAAGTGTGCATAAAGTTTTCCCTGTAATCAAAGGAAAGAGCAAGGCCTCCAGCAATAGTAGCCATTAATGTTACTCTGTCCTGCTTAGTTTCTGGAGTCTTACCCTGCTGCCTATCTAATGTAGAAGCTGCAAAATAATTCTGCTACGTCCTGTTGAACACTTAATTTCCTCTTCTGCCTTCCAGATTTCTTCAGGCAGGGGGGTTCGTAGGGGGTATTTTGGTTTTTATATTTATTTATTTATTTCCCCCCCCCCCCCCCCTTTTTTTTTCCCCCTACTGGGCAGAGGAAGAATGGAGATGTATGGATGGGGAAAGGGGAGCAAAACCCGCTTTGGTAGGGAAAAAGGTAGCAAAACCCTATGGTAGGGAAAGAAGGAGCAAAACCAGGCTGTGGTAAGAACGAAGAGATGATGCTGAGACGTTCCGAGCAGACCTCGTGCGGCAGATCATGCAAAGTGAAGGACATGAATTACTTGGCATGCAAGGGAGTAAAGAACAGGGGTAGTTGTTAGAGATGGAGCATTTACAGGGGGCCCTTGCGTTGGAGGGGGTGGTCCCCAGCCAGCTACCAAGGTAGGCGGGGGCTGAGGGCAGCCCCTTGATGGATCCATGGAGCCACATGTGTGTCTAGTGTGAAACAAGTGTGCAGTAGTAAGTGTGGTTTATTGCTATTGCACAGGCAAAGACCCCTGAGAGCTGGCATATGAATATTTTATAATTTCCAATTCTAGAGGTGTTCTTAACTGTTTAAATTGGAATGCTTAATTCCAAGCCCTTAAGGGCTCTGACTTTCTTCAGATACCAGGTATCAGCTGCTCTCATTAAGTGACAAATGTCTTCACTGAAAACAGCTTTAGTTAAGTGTCCTGGGGCTCTCCTGTCTGAGCAGAGTAAGGAAGGAGACTGCCTCTCCAGGAGTGCTTGGAGATAGACCTATGCAGAAAGAAACTTGCTCTTCCTTCTATTGCAGTGTCTCGACTGGTCACTATAAGTAAAGATCCATATGAAGCCTGTGATGGAGCTCACGCCCTTGTTATCTGCACTGAATGGGACATGTTTAAGGTAAAAAGTGGGTGACTTTTGCTGTGTGTGAGGGCTTTATTTTAGTTCTTGTATCTTTAAAGATACAAACAGAATGTGTTACTTATTTTCTCTGTGCTCTACAGGACCTGGACTATGACCGTATTCACAAGAAGATGCTGAAACCAGCGTTTATCTTCGATGGCAGGAGAGTTCTGGACGATCTTCATAATGAGCTGCAAGTCATTGGTTTCCAGGTAACCAGCTGGGATTCCTTCTGGGTGTGTTTTCTGTGAGGAGAGAACATGTACACTGTTCTAGAATGACTGAGTTACAAGAGAAAACCCTTCTTTTTAGCTGAGGCTTTAGATATAAACACTTGCTTTTGGGTCTCTTCAGTAGTTTCCTTTTTCTTCAGTATTTTCCTGTCCTGTGAACTGATGCTCTATTAAAATCCAGACTACTCTGGAATAGTCCATCAACACCCAGCAGTGTAAGCATGTCTGGGAGAAGTCCTCAATCTAGTGGAGACAAAATGTTTGAATAAGACTGAAATGGCCAAATGTCTGAATATCTCCTAGTAGAAGCATCTGAGTCATGAATTAAAACCAAACCTAGAAGCCAAATCAGGCGCATGTTACAGCTACATTATTTCCTTTCACCTACTATAAAGTTTGGTGATTATTTGTGTAATGGTCATAGGCTTTCATTCCCTCCCTCCTCCCCTGCTGTTCTTGCTTGGCTTAAGCTACAGCCCAGCTGTTAGGTGAGCCTATTTCCAAACGGTGTAAGTGGCTTTGACCAGTAAGTGCTGGAGTCACAGGGTGCAGCTGTTAAGGGCAGATATGGGTCATGCAGCTGGCATGGCTGCTTGAGTAGAGCTCTTCCCAGGGTGCTGGTGACACCAGGTAATTAACTTGGGTGTCTGTCTAGAATATCAGCTTTCACTAGATTTCTCCTGAGTTAATTCTTCAGAATTAACATGGACTCACAGAATGGTTGAGGTGGGAAGGGACCTCTAGAGATCATCTAGACCAACCCCCTGCTCCAGCAGGGACACCCAGAGCACGGGCCACAGGGCGGCATCCAGGCGGGTTTGGAAGACCTCTAGAGAAGGAGATTCCACGGCCTCCCTGGGCAGCCTGTGCCAGGGCTCTGGCACCCTCACAGTGAAGAAGTTCTTGTTTTAAGTCAGATGCAAAGCACTGAGAGACAGCATACAGTATTTAAGACAGCTATATCTCTTTCCTGACTGGACATCTGGCCTATTTCACTAGTTAGGATTTTGGCCTCCACAAGCTCTATCCTTAAATGTTTTGCATAAGCCTGGCTTAGGAATTGGGTGAACTTGGTGGTCGGGAGGGTTTTGTTGTTCATTTTTTAATTCTTTGCACTCATACTCCCCATAGTTTCTTAGCATACAGTGTGTGCTTTGCAGCTTATGTGTTTTGGCCAGTGTTGGTTAAAAGTAGCCATGGTTCTGGATGAAGTTAAAACATTTCTGATAGCCTGACATGAGTCTGTTAGCTTGCCAAGCTGTCTTCCTGACTGTATCTTCCCTTTCAGATTGAAACAATTGGGAAGAAGGTTTCAGCCAAGAGAATACCTTTTGCTGCTTCTGGTGAAATTCCCAAGTTCAGTCTGCAGGACCCTCCTGTAAAAAAACCCAGAGTGTAACTGTTAAGTACTGAAGGAATTATGTGAACCACATTAGTGATATTAACTGTAAGCCTGTGCTTTTTTAAGGGAAGATATTTTTTCATAAACTGAAAACCATTTTTACACTAGAAATGGTACCTGGTACATGTGAATTCAGTCTAATTTCAAATCTCTATTTTTATAATTTTTTTCAGTCACTGAAGATGGTACAGACCGATTTTTAATAATGAATCAGTGTTTAAATGAGGAAAAAATACCTTCAAACTGCAAATTGCTGCTTCCAGAAACATTCCTAAACTGCACTTTAAAAGTTTCAAGTGCTATGAAAATAAAGCTTCTTTTTGCCTTAGTGGAGCTATGGACAGTAATCAAGAGCTTAGTTGGTCTCACAGACTATAATTTACCTCCAGGGTAACTCTTTGCCCTGCTGAATGCTTCCTTAACTGGTATTGAAATCAAAAGGTATGTTAAATTAATTGGATAAGATCTGGTTTGAGCCCTGAGAGAGAGAGCTGACTACAATTATAAGGCCCTGATTCTGCTTGGGACCAACGGGCACTCAAAATCTGAAGTCACTTTTGGCTTTGGGAGACCTGATAGCTCTGCAGACATCTATTGTGTGTCTGTATCTACCCTGGCAGGTAACACTTGATTCTTCACCATCTTGCCCACATTCCACATTGTGGAATTCCACAGCACAAATTGATTTAATCAGATTTCTGGGGCAAATTTTCCTGAGTTACAGCAATGTAGCCTATTGGCTTTGACAGAGGAGCATTCTGCTTGTGTGAACATTGAATTTAAACAGAATTTCATGAAATTAATTCAGTATCAGTCCAAGTAGAAAGCAAATGTTGGCTTCAAAGCTATGGGTGTGGTTTTTTGGTTTTGTTTTCCTCCTTGCATACTGGAATTGAAAGCAGGTTTCCTAGTCAACCTGCAAAAACTATCTTCTCTTTCTGAGAAAAGATTAAAAACAAACTCAGCCCCATAAGTTAGTCAGCTTGCTACCTCATGTAATTAGCAGGAATGCATTTTTCCAATATTACCTTTATACTTTTGCCTTTACTACTACTTTATTTCTACTTATTCATTTATCCTGATTGGCCAGTGCTATTAAATTCCTTGGGATGGCAAAGTTTGTGTTCATTTTCTTTTTTTTTTGTATAGGATTGTAAATGGAGGGGAGGATAAAGAAACTGCACAGGTTTCAGAATGAAAGTGGCAGGAGCCTCTTGGCTGAACAACCAGGGTGTTCCACAGCAAACATCCAGCGGTGTGGGGATGTTTACCCTGTCATTAATCCAAGGTACCTTCTGCACTCATTCCATGGAACAGCTGCCTGCAGTAGCAGTTAAACCGAGAAGGAAAGGGTGATGGGCTGTCTTGCTAATGAAAGTACTTGGTGAAATGTAGGCACAATTTATTATCCTTTCCTATCATGAGCTTTACTTGCGGTCTGTGAAGATGCATCCTGAATGCTGGATGTGGGTGCGTGCTGCGCGGGGCTTTGGGGGTCTCTCCTCCTACGTCCCTCCACAGCACCTGGAGCGCTGAGCACGTGCACACAAACGCAGAGCAGTTCCTCCATCTGAAATCCAAGAACGTGGCTCGTTGATGAGCAGAAAAATCTCTTTGACCAAGACGTATAGGAGTTATAGGAGAGACTCTGGAGTGGCAACAAATGTATGTTTTCCTCTTTTCATTTAAGCTCTATACTGCCTCCACCTCTAAGCTCAGAGGTGCCTATAATCCTGCTAAACCTAAATCAAACTGAGTTTTAAAAGGCAGGAGAACATAAGGGGTTGGTTATCTATGATGAAATACTGGGGATGGTTTTTGTTATTTACTTTTTCTATTCTAGGCTCAGAACTTTTCTTGCTTGTTGAGAATCTTTTATAATGACTTACAATAGGTGTTAGTAAAGAAGCACGCGTATAAATGTATATATCTTTTAATGAAGAATATTACTGATTACTGATCAAGTAGGAAAAAAATGTTTTAAACTCTTCTCTCACTCTTCTTAACTAAACAGTTTCCTTTTGTCGATTTAACAGACTTGTCAATTGTTAATATTTTTTTTCATGTGACTCTTTTCAAGTCACTGAAAGATTCAGCAGTCCTTTAGCCAGCTGCATAACATTTAATTATGCTTCCCAGATTGAAGTAGATCTGTGTAATGCTGCCAAAAAGGAATATTCATCCTCTTAAAGAGTCTATCAACTTGAGATTGTATTTTCAAAACTCAATTTAGTGTTTTTGATTGCAAGGAAGATTAATGTTTCTTAAAATACTACGGCTTTGTGGCAACTGCTGAAAGCAAGCGCTTGATATATGACATAGAAACTGTCACTAAACATAATTTCAGTGGGATTGAAATTGGGAAGTCTGTGAAACCTGTGCTGAACTTGCACCTGAGCCTTCTGGATTCTTGCTTCATATGAGCACACAGGGTGCCTTTAATACAGGTATGGAAAAACTGAACGGGGATGGTTCTAAAGCAGTCTCCTTAAACTAGGAAGGGAGCTTTAGGACTGTTTTTACTGTACAGGCTGTTAAAGGCCCTTAGAAGTTCAGAGGTGATTTAAAAAAAATGCCCACTTCCTTGAAGTTACACCACCTGCTTTGCATGGTTTAGAATGGTGTCTGCAGAGTTGGAAAGTAGTTTCTTATGTAGCTGCTGTAACTTGGTGCCTGCTACCAGATATGGTTGTGTAAAAGCATGAGATCATTTTATGAACCACCCAGAAACAATTTGTAAAATATTTCTAGCATGAAATAACATTGGAACCAATTTCCTGAAGCATTACTTCTCATCTTGGGTAAAAAAAAGTGCAAGGTAATGATTGTGCAATGTTTTCTTCACTAGTTGGCAACACCCCTACTGCTCAGAATCCCTTTTCCCTTGTTTCTGGTGTTACCTGCTTAAAGGGCACCACCTTTAACATAGCAATATCCTGTTGAATCCGCTCCCCAGGGATGCCAGAGCTGCTATATATGGTAAGACCTCTAGGAAAGGCTGGCAGCTGCCATGCCTAGAGGTAGCCTGGTGTTCCTGATGCCACTGCCTGCTGTTGAGGGCTCTGAGCCATCCTCCTTACTTGAGTGACAACGTGCTGCTGCTTTAGTGTTCGGTGCCCTGTGGCTGCAGTGGGGCCCTGGTAGCTCAGGGCTTACCTTGTTCCGCTGCCTGGCGAGGTACAGTGCCATACTTCATTTTGTGCTGTGTATGTCACTGGCCTATGTTATTTACACATAGCATCATGCAATATATAGCAGTCACTGTAGACTGAGCCTGCTTGTTCTAAACCTGCCTTCTGCCACCTTGCTGAGACTTTCTGCTTTCTCTAGTCTGCAGTAACTTGCACAAACACTGCAGCTGGCTCTGGGACACCTGAATAGGGAGAGCTGGGAACTGGTAACAGAGTCCTTCTTGTTTCCCAAAGACTGACTGGGCTTTACGCAAATTTCGATGAAATTGTTCAATGCAGACAACTATGAGGGAGATACCTACTGAAATATCAAGCACAGGGTTCTTCCTAATGTACTATAAGCCCTCAGCTGGTTCTCACACTGCAATTCATTTCTGTTACATTGTGATTTGGCAGCTATGAGGTAGGTAATCAGACCAAACATGACGAAGAAACCTTAGGCCACCTATTAAGACTTTCTTTAATAGCAATACAACACCCTGGAGCAGCCATGCAGTACAGGAGAGCAGCAGTTTTGAAGAAGCACCTGCGGCAGGGTAGGTGTGTTAGTCTCAAAGCCAGCCTAGGTGGCTCTTGCGCTGCTAGGATGTGGGCTCCAAGCCCTCGCATGGGCTGATCCTGCTCCTTCCTTGGCCACCCAGCTCGGGGGCAGCAGCTCCGTGCAGGAGCCACCCCTGTAACACCCAGCGACACGAGGCCTCCTCAGCCAGCCGGCTGCCCTGTGGCAGGACAGCCCACGCAGGTCTTGCCCTGCACACAACTTGCCCGGGAGCTCCCAGCTTCCCAAATGTGTGTTACACAGTGAGGGTACCATAAGCATCAAGCTATCAATACCTCTTTACTCACTTGATGCTTGTATCTTAACAAGACTAACTGCAGCAATATTGATAGTAGCATCAGCCTTGTTTACTAAAATTTGTCTGATATCTTCAGTTTGTTTCTTCCACTCCACTTCCCTTGCTCTTTTAAAAACAAAAATGTTCTAGTAAAACCTTCTTATGTTCCATCATCTCAATGTATATTGAAGGGTAAAGTACTACTAGTAAAACTAGTACTTGTACCCTTGCCAGGAAGAATTAGGTAGGGTAATGGGAAGTGTTCAAGTGACAAATGTTCTAGAACGACAGTTTCTTCATGCATCTGCAGATGGTCTGCTGTGTTTCTGGAACCAAGTTCATGGGTTGAAAAAAGTGATCCTTATCACTTTTGGTTGGTTTAAAGAGGTTTCCATTTCAGATGGCTTTTGTCTTTCTTTTTTCTACCAAGTTCTTCAAGAAGAATTCTCCTGAAGTAAAAGGTAAAGAAACACTTTGGTGCTTAAGTATTTCAAAGCCCTACATTCTTACTCTTGTATTCTGCAATGTAACTGTCCTTCCAGAATTCTGCGACAATTCATATCTGTTCAATGCTTTCCATATATATGGAAACAAAAAACTGCTAACCCAACACCCTTTTCATCCTCAAAGGCCATGCTTTTTCTTGGTTTTACTTATGTTAAGGGTAAGAAATCACTCCAACAATTAAAGATAAAATCCTAAAATAAGAATTAATTTTCAATCAAATTTATCAGCACCTTGTGGAGAAACCTGCTATGAATTTGGTTAAACTGGCTTTAAATAAGTCTGAAAAGGAATGTGTCCCAGCTATGTTTCTTCTGTTCTCTTTTTTTGGAGAAAAAAAAGGCAAGATACTGGACCTACATAATTAATCCGCTTAAGATCATATGTTGCTCAATACAGTGCTTTGTTAGAAAAAGCACTGCCATAACTATCTAATTATTTCTGTGGCACTACAAATAAATTCCTTCTAAAGCAACAAAAATATACCCCATAAAAAGGCCACTTGTAAACCCTGCGGGGTTCAAGAGGCAGGATGTAAATGGAAAATGTGCAGATCGTGGTTCTTCTATGTGAATCCTGCCTCAAGCAGTACATATAGTACAAACCTCGTTGGGCAAAAAGGCACCTAAGTGGCACAGTGCTCATACACATACCAGCTACTGCCCTCCTCGTGCACTGAGGTGACCTCCAGAAGACAGCATGGATCAGCAAAATAACCAAATAAACCAAAGGACCAACTGAGTTGCCCTTGAACTAAGCTGAACCCTGTTACATATTACTTCACAGCTGTAACTTTACTTAGGCTATATAATTTTACTATATAAGCTAACACATGTCAGTAATTTACCTGCTTTGTAAGAGGAGCGCACCAGAGGCCCACTAGCTGTGTAATGGAAGCCAAGATCATTTCCTACTTTTTCCCAGTACTTGAATTTTTCAGGAGTTATATATTCTTCAACCTGAGTGAAAAGGATTAATTATGATCAGGTAATAATGCAAGGGAAGTAGATGCAGACAGAATGTTAGCAGGAATAGTTATTTCACAAGTTCAGAATTTTGCACTCCAAAACTTAAGTGCAGAAAACTTAAGTGCAGCAGTCAAGCCATACAGGTGCCATTTCTCTGTGCTCTGTAGCAGAAGCATCCCTTTAATCTGCTTCTCAAAGAAAGCTCAAAAGTTCAGAATGCAGGAACTGGCAGTTGCCTCATTGTTTCCTTCACTCTATTTTTGACTGGTCATTTGGTTCAAAGTTTGGTCCAAGTTAGTTAAAAATACCACAGCCTTATAAGCCTTTTGAACAGTAACATCTCAGGAAGCAGAATAAGAGTACAGAGATTCAAACATTTCTAGACTGACTGCAGAACAAGGAAACCTCGAAAGATGGTCATTTTCCCAGGTAAAGTGCCATCATTAAGGAAGAGCCCACGAGATGGGCAAGGTGAAAGGGTATCAGCCGTCACCTTGCACTGGAACCGCTTGCCAGATCAGCCCCTGGCTCTGACTGCCTCCTGCCCAGCAGCAGTGAGCAGCCTGCACAAGGGGGCTGGGTGAGCTGAGGTCTTTTTCGGCAGAGAGCCCATCAGAAAGATGGGAAGGAACCACCTGCCTGCTTCCACTGCCATGGTGGGGATGCAAATCAACCCCAGGCCTAATGTTAGCACAGGCCTAACGCTGCCGGTGCACGGAAGCCCTGCTGCAGCGAGGCACAAGCTGTTAAGGCTGCCGGTGCACGGGAGCCCTGCTGCAGCGAGGCACAAGCTGTTAAGGCTGCCGGTGCACGGATTCATCCCCACCTTGAGGTGCCGCCTCGTCGGCTGCATGTACTGTCCCAGGGTCAAGCAGTCTACACCGGCCTCGCGCAGCACTGCAAGCAAAACCTCTTGTTAGTGCAGCAGAATCGCGAGGGACCGTGCCGCATGCAGCCCCTCGCGGCAGCGGCGCCGTCCGCCCGCACTTACGCTTCATGGTGGCGTGCACCTGCTCGTCCGTCTCGCCCAGGCCCAGCATGATGGAGGTTTTGGAGACGAGCGCGGGCCGCACCTCCTTGGCGTGCCGCAGGACGCGCAGCGACTGCTCGAAGCCGGCGCGGGGGTCGCGGACGTGCCTGCGGGCGGCGCGCGGCATGGCGGCACGGCGGCGGCGCGCGCCCTCTGCCGGCGGGCGGCGCGCGGGGCACGCCGGGAGCGCCCGCCGCCGCCCCGCCATTTCGCGCTCGCCCCGGCGCCCTCGCTGCCCGGCCGCCCGCAGCGCCCCCGAGCGGCTCCTCGCGGCCGCCCTGAGGGAAAGGGCACGGCCCCGCGGGCACCAACGGGCAACGGGATCTAGGAGCGTCCCGCGCTGCTTGGCAGTGGAGCCCGTCGCGTGCCCGAGCCTCCTTCTCCCACAGGCGCCAGCCCCGAACGCCTGGGTGTTTTGGGGAGCCCCCGCTCAGCCCGCGCCCTGCCTGCAGCAGCGCTACCGGCAGCCAGCAGCGCCCTGCCCGCAGCAGCGCTCCCGGCAGCCAGCAGCGCTACCGGCAGCCAGCAGCGCCCTGCCCGCAGCAGCGCTACCGGCAGCCAGCAGCGCTGCACCGCTGCGCCCGCAGCGCAGGACGAGCCGCGCTGCGCTCACGGCAAAGCTGCTGCTGAGCAGGTCGCGCCGCATTCAGAGAAACCCAACCGCCAAAGACTACCACAGACAGAGACTTGTAAGTCTCAGAGACTTGAGGTCTTTGGCTAAGCGTGGAAATTTTCATCCAAAAGACAGTCTGATGTATACATTGAATATTACTGTTTGGAGTTTGTTTCTAAAGTAAACTGCCTTACAAAGTGGGCTAAACTACTCTGTTAGAATATATGCTTATTCTCCTCTTAAGTCTTTGATTTGAAAAATACATATAAAAAAGTAAAGGTCAATAGAGCTGGAGCATTTTTTCCCCATTTAGTGGGTATTTGGTTATAAGATATGAAAGAATTACTATTGATAGTATAGTACCATCAACACCAATTAGGACAGGAATTTATGGGCCTGGGAGCTAAAGTATTAGTGAAAATTGCAATAAATAGCTCTGACAATTCCTTTCTCAAAATTCCTAAAAAAAAAAAAAAAAAAAAAAAAAAAAAACCCAAACTCTTACTTCTAGATTTCCTTCTACGTATTATGTTTGCTTACCTCTGTAATTCTGGAACAGTTTCAACATTGTGGGCATATACATCTAGCCCTGACAATGCTACTTTCTCCACAGCTTTAAGGTCCCCTCGAAAATCAGGAGTTAGGCATTCTACTAGAATTTTGGGATTCCTGAAAAGCAGAAACTGAAGCTGAAAACAGCAGTGGGATTTGTATCTCTCTTGCTAAAATCAAGTATCACAAAAATATTGCTCTGGATTATCTATACTTAATCAAAGCTCAGCAAAAATTAAATGTAGCTTAATTAGTGATGCTCATACATGCAAAGTAGAGGTAATTCAGGGTATATGCATAAAAGACATTTCTGCAAACACTAATACTAGAATTTGAACAAAACATTTATTTCCTGATTTTACTGATGGGAGCCAAAATAAAATGAAAGTTAGATAATATTAAAATCATTCTTAGTCAAATAATCACATTTACTATTTACATATACCTTTTCCTATGCACCTTTCTGCGGGTTAATTTGACAAGCTTTTTTTAACGTGATTTTAGTAAGATAGCTACTGAAATATAAAGCAGCAATCTACTGGGATAGATTCCTGGGCAATATCGCAGCGTTTTGCTAATCCTGGTCTCCAGCAGCCAGATTCCGGTGCATAAGGGCACACGTATTTATCTCCACAGGCAACTTTCAACGTGAGGCTTAAAATTCAACTCTAGGTAAGGGCTCAGAGGAGGTTATGGGAATTAGTTCTGCAGGCAAGACAAGCACATTATCAACTGGCAAGCAGGGCAGCAATATAGAGAATGAAGGAAGTTTAAATGAGGAAAACAAGAAGACAGAATTAAAGACTTAGAAACAGCCACTGAGAAGAGAATGCAAAGCACACTGGTTGCTGCTGAAAGGAAAAGAAAAACAAACTTCCTTTGTGAGCAGTGACACTGTTTTCTAAACTGACTGTGTATCTGAACAACGTACATCAAAACCATGTGCTCACGTGCTGCTAACCCAGAGGCGCAGTCAAAGCTTAGCTTTAAGTAAGCCTAGGCTAAACTGTAGCAACGGATGCTAAAACACATCCAAATTTGAAATACTTTTGGGAGCGTTATACCAGAAGGATGAATAACGGGAAAAAAAGGAGTATAAATTAGCAAAGGGCAGACTTTTGTACTCATCTGGTATCTGGGCACATCCAGATAAAACCAGTTTGGGCTTGTGCACAGCACCACATCCTGAAGTTTTAATACCAAGTTTATAACATTAAAAACATACCTTTCTTTCAGATGAGAAACGGTCTTTGCAAAGTGTTCTGCTCCACCATCCGGTAAATCTAGAAGCAATTAATTTATTCAATTAACTTTGTATTCAATGAACACATTTACTGCAAGGCCACAGAGAATCTGCAGTGAAATATTTAAATCCAAACTAGTAATGCAACAGTTAGTTAAAAGCTTTGACCCTAGCATTATCTTACCACCACGGCAAAGGTTTATAACAACTTCCCAAGCCCTGCTCTGCACTCAGGCTAAATATGGCTATTTAAGTGGACTCTGAATTTATTTGTCTGTGTGGGCTCACTATTAGCATAAACACAAAATTAATTTATCTATTTATGTTTTTGATCTCAGATAGTTCCACAAAAACAGAAGTAGATCCAGTTTATCCTTCTTACAAGCCACTTTGAAGCTATTAGACTTGTAAAGGAAATACAGTGGCCAGTCTTGGCAACAGAGTCTTTCCCAGCTATACAGTGTTACCACAGAGGAGCTGTTACAATCATATGGAAACTCTTTTGTTAGGTGGAGTCTGTTCCAGGTCTAGTTCTGGGGTGGAAGTTCTGTAGTGGCATTACACATGAACATGAACAAGGACTTTTTTTTTTTTGATCAAATTATAGATAGAACATCACACATAGGTACAAATGTTGACAAAAACAAGTCATAAAAATGCTCTTCCAGCCCATTTAATCACAAAATTAGTCCTGGCTTTACTAAAAAACAGGCTTCCAGGACTATCGAATAAAACACTATAATTTTTTGAATATTTCATAACAATTTCTGGTATATTTTAACAGCCAGAGGACACTAAGAACAGGCACAACCTTCCAAAAGCTGCAGCACTGCTGACCCTGTAAAACAGCACACGTAGCTCAGGAGGCTGCCCGCCCCAGAAGATGTTAGTAACAAGATACAAACCGTCTCTGTCCACAGACGTCAACACCACGTAGTCCAAGCCCCATTCAGCTATCGCTTTGGCTGTATTGTAAGGCTCCTCGGCATCTAGGGGAGGTGGATGTTTTGCTGTCTTCACTGAACAAAATCTGCAACCTCTAGTGCACGTGTCACCCATCAGCTGCAAAAAGAAAGACATTCCCACCTTTGTATCTTACACATCACTGTTGTTTGTCCATGGAATAGCTAATTATGCTAAGTCTTACAGAAATGGAATAAAAAAATAAGGACACTGATTCCCTATACCTTTCATTCAATAAACCTGAGCAGCTACAGCAGAGACTGCTGCATACCCAAACATGCTACCAGCTGCTCAGGAGTCTGCAGAATACTCGAGCAATGGTTAATGACTTACCATAATAGTAGCAGTAGCTGTAGCGTATTCCCCACCTCCCCAGCACTCTCCAATGTTGGGGCAACGAGCTTCCTCACAGACCTGAAGTTAAGCAAACAAAACCCAGATCCTTCTGTCATAAATGAGAAGATGAACAGACCTACCTATCATTATGTTAAAAAGTCAGTAATACAGCTAGGAATAAAATCATTATTTCCTGGCACTCATTTCTCTGTCATTCTTTTCCTCCACTTTACAACTCCACAAACTCCTCAGCCAAGCACCTGCCATATTAATTAGCACTGATTATCTGTCACTAACAGTGCAAATTAAATTTAAAAGATGATAAAATATTCACAACAACTAGGATCCATCAAGGCATACTCCTTCCCTCCAAAAGAAAAAAATAATCTATGCATACCTGACACATTTCACCACCTGAGAGGTATATTTGATAAAACCTGTATGTTTCTAGAATTTCTTACCACGCCAGACATGTGTATAAAGCTGGAATCACATGTATACATTCTTTTACACACACCACAAACAGCATCTTCAAATACTGTAAGTAGTAAGCCCTAGCATTTAAATCACGTGTGGAAAAATAAGAAATTATGTACAGCTTTTTATTCTTCATTTTCCCTAAGCATAATTTTCACTCCTGGAAAAAAAAAAAGCGATCAGCACTAGGCTTGGTTCTGGGCTTTGGCCTTGACAATCTTGTAAAATATGATGTCTAATTGTCCTCAACAACGAAATAATTTCAGACCACGGAGAGCCTTATTTCTACAGGAAAACACGGCTGGTTCTACACTTACCGTATGGAGATTTAAACTTCTCAAGGTATTCTTTAATTTATTATAGTTCTTTCCCATAGGAATCTGTGTTTTCAGCCACGGAGGAAGTCGCAGCCTGAACAACATCAAGCAAACATAAAGATTAACAAATTCTTTACATGGCAAGCTTGCAGTAATTTTACATAACTCCTTTATCTTGCTACAGATCCTGGCTATAAAGGGTTGCTTGAAAACATCAATGCTGCTCACGGTCACTACTGACCTTTCCCTTCCACAAATACTATCAGGCCAACATTCAAACCTAGGCGCTTGCTATCATTATAAAGTTTAAAACCGTTTAATATTGGGCTTTACCAGAACAGAGGGTAACCCACACCAGGGCTAGCAACAAGCGGCATTTTCCAATAGCGGCAGTGTAAACCACAAACCTACCGCAAAGCCCGACGGAACAGCGGACAGAAACGCGTGTTGCTTTAACCGCTCTTGCTCCGTTGCATTAAAAACGCCTCTCGAGACCCGGCGCGGGACCGCTCCCACCGGGGGACCTCCCCACGGGGCCGCTCCCCGCGGCCGTTACCCGCGGCCGTTACCCGTCACCTCTCTCCCTTCTGCCGCTTCAGGCTGCCCCCGCGCTCCGCTCCGTCCCCGCCGGGCAGACGCCCCGACACGAAGTCCTGCAGGCCCGGCCCGTGCTGCGGGAGCTCCCTCCTCCGCTGCGGCGGCGCGGCCGCCGCTCCAGCCCCGGTCCCGGTCCCGGTCCCGGCTGCGGCTCCCGCGCCGCCGCCGCTCGCGGGCCGTCCCGGCACCTGCAACGGCAGCAGGGTGAGGCGCGGGCCGCGCTCCCCGGCGTGTCCCGCCCCGCCGCGCTCACCCTCGCCGGGCCCCCCCGCAGCAGCAGCGGCAGCAGCAGCCGCCGCCCGGCGGCCCCCGGGCACCAGCGGCAGCCCCGCCGCGCCAGCGACATGGCGGCCCCGCGATCCGCCCGCTCCGCGCTCGGCTGTCCTCCCCTGCCCAGAGCTGGCTCCACGCCCCGCTCTGCTCGCTCACATCGGCGCTCGGCTGCGCTCGCCTGCCGCGCCGGCGCGATGACGCTGCGTGCGGGCTACAGGAGCGTAGCGACGCTGCGTGCGGGCTACAAGAGCGTGATGACGTAGCACGGCGGCCCTTTCCTCGGTGCGCGCCGCGAGGTGAGGCGGCGGCCCGCGCCATCCGGCGCCATCCGGGAGCGGGGGGCGGCGGGGGACGCGGCTGCAGCCTCTGCTCTGTGTCGCTTGCAGGATGAAGACCATCCTCAGCAACCAGACGGTCGACATCCCCGAGCAAGGTGCGCCCGCGGGGCCGGGGGCGGCGGGCGGGGCGGGGCGGGCCGGGCGCCGCTCGCGGCCGTTTAACCGCCGCTCGCGGCCGTTTAACCGCCGCTCGTGGCGCCTTGCAGTGAGCGTGGCGCTGAAGGGCCGCACCGTCATCGTCAAGGGCCCGCGCGGGACCCTGCGCCGCGACTTCAACCACATCAACGTGGAGCTCTCGCTGCTGGGCAAGAAGCGCAAGAAGGTGAGCGCGGCCGAGCGGCTCGGGAAGCGCGAGCCGGCCCGCCCGGTACGCGGCCCTCCGCCCGAGCGGCTCTTGTGGCCGCCGTCAGGGAACGTGGCCGCCTGCTCCGGCCTAGCGAGGCCGGGCACCCCGCGAGCCTGGCGGCAGTCGCTGTTTTGGCGGTTGGAATGGTTGTGTGTGTTCACGCGTGCCGAGTCTAACAGTTAGTAGTTGATACCTGCCCGTGGTTGGATGGTGGGTTGGTTGGTGTACTGTGTTTGAGCTGTGATGTTAAGCAGGTAAGTACTGTACGCTTAGTTATACTGTACGCTACGTGCGATGATGCTGTGCACTTAATTGCCGTAATTGGGAGTTATGCTGGGAAAGCAGAAACTTTCTGAGGGAATGGATAATATTTGTTTGCAGCCTGAAAGACCTGGAAGGAGGGGTGTGGGTGGTGGGGTGAGTTTAGCCACTCCTTGAGAAGCATTTTAGGCCGTGTCTGGTGTATAGTGCAAGAGCTGACTCTTTATCTCGTCTTTTGTTTAAAAAGAGTAAATGTGTCATAACCAAGGGTTAGCTTTGGAGCATCGTGTTCAGCGTTTGACACATCTGTCAGCGATTCTTCAGTATAGAGATTTCAGAAGCTTTTTACACATTATTAGCTACTGAATTTTTTTTTTAACATTTGTTTTTGGATGCAAACAAAAATTCTCGTATCTTTAGGGATTGGGATTAAAAGACTTAAACCTTCAATAGCCTTTGAGAAAGGACGTTGCGATTTTGGTGGGGATATCCTTCATAAACGACATGATTTTCCCAGTGTTACTTTGTCACAAAAATATTAACCTTTCTGGCTTTGAAATGTAGCTTAATGGTTTATTTTGTTGTATTTGTTTATATAGTTACGGGTTGACAAATGGTGGGGTAACAGAAAGGAGCTGGCAACAGTTCGCACAATTTGCAGCCATGTGCAGAACATGATAAAAGGTGTTACACTGGTAAGTGTTTTTGTTTTGAAATGGAAGTTATTTCTGTCATTTTGCTGCTTGCATTAATAGTCTCTTATTCAAGCAGAAGTAAAAAGTGTATGTAAATGTATTGTAAAGTGTATGGGGTATTATGCATGTAAGTTGCTTGTAGCTTCCATCCCCAGCCTCCTGTTGCATGTGGAAGAAAGTGTGAAGCATAAACTCTAGATGTCACTTGGGATTGGTATTTTAGTATTGTTCTTAAGAAAAAGCTTTACTCTTAAATTTATCCAATAAGCTTCATGTGAGTTTTTTTTTGTGTGTTTTGGCTGCCTTTTACTTATGGAGTCTAATAACTTGCTTAACCCCAGGGCTTTCGTTACAAGATGAGGTCCGTGTATGCTCACTTCCCCATCAATGTAGTTATCCAGGATAACGGCTCCCTTGTGGAAATCCGAAACTTCCTGGGAGAGAAGTACATTCGCAGAGTGCGCATGAGACCAGGTGAGTGTCTGGCAACATTGCACTCCCCATTTCTAGCAAGCCTGTTTGGGCACTGCTACTGATAGAGGCAGGTAGTAGATTATTTTAAAGGAGTTTTTTCTTCGAATTTACATAATCATGGTGGTACACAAGTCGTTGTTCAGATTTCCATTAAACACTTGGTAATTTATTTTCAGTAATGGCAGCGTGCTCAGTGCTAGGTCTTGCAAAGTGATTTGCAAGGGACGTAGGAGTTACTTTAGTTGTTGGAATAGTCAATGTTCTGTGAATGGATATGGTCAGTTTCTTTTTTTTTTTTTTTTCTTAATTGTGCCAATATTGTATGTACGCTCGTCAAATATCAGGCTTTTGGTCTTTGAAGCGCTCTTGTAATTTGATTTTGCTGCTTGCTAGGAGCGTGTATGAACTTCAAAATCACAGAATGGTTTGAGGTTGGAAGGGACCTGTAAGAGATCATCTAGTCCAGTCCCTCTGCTCAAGCAGGGACACCTGGATCATGGGAGACAGGGTTGGATCCGAGCAGGTTGTGAAGATGGAGGAGGAGGAGACTCCACAACTTTTCTGGGCAATGTGTTCCTTATTCTGACTCCTTTATTATACACCTTGCATATATACAAGCATATATACCTTGCAGTAATAACAGTGTTTTAAAGAGACTAGGAATTTGAACCTTGTTAAACCTCCAAGTAGAGAGGCAAAACACATTCTTAAAAGCACTACTGTCTTAAGACTGTGCAGGGAAAACTCTCACCATCTTTTTTAATAATTCTACTCCTGTGGGGAGGTAGGGGTGAGCGAATTTTTTAGGAGAGATGGTGTTTTAGAGTGGTTTTGGATGAAAGCTTTGGGCTTGTGTGTAGGCAGATACAGTGCAGGAGTTTTTATGAGGGCTTTGATTTTAGTGAAATACGTCAGTGGAGTTTGCCTATTGTAGTTGATTCTTGTAAATCTGACCTTTATTTGAAACACATTAAGAAAGATATTAGGCAAGAATAGTATTAGGCTAGTTTTATCAACATGTATTAAAATTTGAGCTTTAAAGACTGTCTTGAATTATTTTGCTCTACAAGTGAAAATTTGTTTGTACAGATTTTGAATGTGCTGGTGTTTATACCCTAGGAATATTTCCATTATTCCTTCAACATGGTGCTTAGCATGTCAGGAGGTGCCTTTTTTTTTTTTTTTTTTTTTAAACTTGGTGAATCCAAGGGAAGAATCCACTTTTGTCTTAATAAACATAGGAATCTGGAAAATGGCACCACCTAGCTGACAAAGTCCTGCTGGCAAAGTCTCGGATTTGTTAGTGACAGTGATGAATGCTGTAATGTAGTAGTGTTTAAGTAGAAACGTTAATTGGTGTAAGTTATGATGTGCTGTGGAAGTAAACTACGCTTCATTTGCTGGAACTGTAGCAAAGCAGAATCCTGGAGGGAGTTCTGGGGCACTATTTTGGAACCTATATTTGGAGTCCACCAAATCATAGAAATACTGTCTAGAATATCTGGCTCTATAAACTCTGACAGTGAACAAATAATGTCTTCTTAGTACAACTTCAGTGTCTTCACAGTGATGATGACTGTGTTTTCCCTTCCCTAGGTGTTACCTGTGCGGTGTCTCAAGCTCAGAAGGATGAACTGATCCTTGAAGGGAATGACATTGAATTGGTCTCCAATTCAGGTTGGTGATCTAGATCCTTGGGAAGGTTTAATGATGTGGTCACTACTATCTGAAGATGTCAGTTTTGCAAACTATGTTGGTCTTTTTTTCTTCATCATGAGATAAATGACAGATCACGTGCATTTCACTTTTTTTTCTAGCTTATGTAGTTGCTTTTTGTGATTTCTTTTTTTAAATGTACAGATGGTATTATAAGTCTACAGAATCCGTTTTCCAGTCAATATTCAAGGTCTTTTTACCATAACACTTGTCAGCTTCTCAGTTGTACAAGAGTGCAGTAATAGACTGTTTGTCCCCCCATCACCAAGACGGGTGCAGTGAAATGTGTTCCCTTGTCATTATTTCTGACTGGATTCCCAGTTGGTAATTCCCTCTCCTGAGTGACAGTTTTTGTCATTTGGAGACTTGGAGCACGTGTAGGCTAGAGGTAGTGATGGACTTTTTACTTTGTGTGCTAATTCTCTTGCTTTTTCTGTAGCTGCCTTGATCCAGCAGGCCACTACAGTCAAGAATAAGGATATCAGGAAATTCTTGGATGGTATCTATGTTTCCGAGAAAGGAACAGTGCAGCAGGCAGATGAGTGAAACTCTGCTGGGTTGGTATTGCACATATTGGCATCGTGGTGGTAATATCCTGTGTTTGTGAGGCTCTCTTGTTCCTTAAGGCAAAAGTCTGGGATTACAAGGAGTCTGGGAACTGGGAGCCACAGGGATGTGAGGCGATGTGCCTGAGCAGCTCATGTAAGGGAAGATTGCTCACCTTGGGGACTTGACAAGACTTGTGTACTCTAGCAAGGCTGTAGCCAAATAGCTATCCAGTGTGCATGTGGTTATGCTTCTGTAACTGTCTTCGTATTGTAAAACTTCGTTTCTGCTGGGGTTCTTGATCAGCTGCTTTGCATCTCTCACCAACCTGGTTTTATGCTACTGTATGAAGAAAAGTCTAACTCTAGATAAGGGGTGTATTTATGCTTTGACTTCTAGTAGAAACAATAGCGGAGAATTAAAACTTGAAGTGACTTCAGCTGTTCTGAAGGATTGGTTTCCTCTTACTTGTTGAGAAGACTTCTGTAAGAAGGCTTCCATAAGAAGACTTCCTTGTTGGATACTGACTGCATTTAAATAAGTGGAACGCACATCAATAAGTGTATTTGGTGTGGTTTATGTGTAAATGCTTGTAAATGGAAGTGAATTTAACAATGACAAATTTAATACCGTGTAGGAGATTTATAATTAAAGCTGAGTATAGAATTTTTAGATAAAAATAGTAACTGAAATAATCTGATGCATTTCAGCTATATATGGCTCCATGGATGGTGCAAAATACTCAGGAAGGGATGAGATGGTTTGAGCTGAAATCAAACATTTGCCTTCCAAACTGCAATTTGAAACACAGGGTCTAGATAATGAGTTAGATCAGCTCATTTTGTGTGTTCTTGTTTTGCTTGTGAAGACCAAACAGGCTAGTGGAAAAAAATGGTGATTTTAAGAGTCCTTCAAGAGAAGGAGGAAGGACTTTTTTCCCTGTTAAACAGCCTGGAGCCATTAAGTCAACTTGTCTGAAATATGTTGCGTTCTTTGTAAGCCCCTGAAAATGTATTCATGTTTGTTCTAAGGAAGTCCTAAGGAAATTGGATATTTTTGTTTTGCATTAGAACTATCAGAAAAAGTAATGTCATATATCCATCAATTCAATTTCACATTTGTAGTGCAAACCATTCTGTTTTTCTTATTCTCTTTTTGTTTACAGTTGTCCAGATCTTAAACCACAAACTACCATGAGATAAACTATCAACAGAGCACTCTATCAAGCAGACCACCCTATCAGGAAGTATTGGATCTGGTGTAAAAATGGAGCAAGATGAGAGATTAAATAAAATACATCTTATTTCATATTTTGGTTCTTTTTTTTAATAACTAAATGGTGATGGCTATGAATGTTCCTAAGACTACTTTGGGGAATTTCACAGGGTAATACAGCGTTGCATTAGTGCTGTGGGTGTGTTTACCTGTGTTGTGTTTTTTTTTAACCCTTCTCTGAGAACTTAAGGAATCTTAAGTCAATTTACATAGGGAAACTGCAATTATACAAACCAAAGTAAGTTAAAAACTAAATCTGGGAGCACTAGAACTAAATCCCCAATATTGTATTTAAATTGGAGAGATTGAGAAGCCTGAAAACACAATGTTTTTGCAGTATTATTGATGCAGGAAAACCAAGGGCTCTGCCTCTGGATTTGGCTAGAGCCGATGGCTGAATTTCAGTGATAGTGATATGTGTCATCTGGGAACTGTAGTTCCTGTTCTGTGGACTTTCTTGTTTGCTAGTCTTAATGTAGCAACAAATTGTTGGGATTTTGTGCTGTTACTTGGTATATTCAAACTGTGGGAGATAAAAATCACCTTAAAGAAGAGACGAGGATAATGCAAAGACATATTTGGCAGCAAACTGCTAAAGCTCCATATTGAGGGAAGATTCTGCATGTGCATCATGATATACATTGAGGATAGTTTTTAAGATGTGGTTCTCATTTTTAAGATGTGGTTCTCATGCCATTGAGATTGTTGCACTAACTGCTGTTAAAATGAATAAGGAATTCAAGGTGGTGAGTATTGTTACGGCTGTATTTTGATTTCCAGATGATAAATTTGACAACCGCCCCCGCCCCCAAGTTGCTGTGGGTAATAACTAGTCAGTGTCCTTGGGTATTGAAGAGATACGTGCATGTCTAACCCAGGTACTGCTTGCTGCACTAGCAGAACACGGGCCAGAGTCTCCAGTCACTAGTGCTTACATTTTATGAACCTTGCTCAGTGTTAACATACATTGAATCATAAGAAATACTCCCATGCACTTAAAAAAAACCTTGGGGTTGGGACAGGGAATGGAGGTGTATAAAGTCCAAGTAAGGAATGTGCTACAGAAATAAGCTCTGAAATAAGCTCTGGTAATTGCTAGGAAAAGGGAAGAGGAGCTCAAAACTAACCACAACCAAAGTGCTGGTTTTGGGCCCTCTTCTGTCACAGGCTTGCTTTTTGTGTACCAGGATTTGATACGAAACATTTGATATGAACATTGCCCTGTGGTAGGGCTTGTACTACTGCTCAAGGGAGCTTCTATAGCAGATACAAAGGAGTCCCTGCTTGCCAAGTGTGAGTGTTGCAACACTGGCACATGCTGTTTCAGTGTTAACAGTGTGCCAGTGTGTTTCCTAACCATGTTCCAGCAATTTTTCAACACACAAGAAAAAAAAAAAAACAGGAAATGCATGTGTCTCAAACCTAGTATTATGGAAGAAAGTTCTTAGTACATTATATTTTAGGTGGGATGAAATTCATATTGCCCCAATCCAAAGGCATCTGTGAAGTAAATGTTACAGTGTGCACACACAAAAAGGGGTGTTTTGGCCCAAATGTGGAGTCATTTTCATGGGAGATATTTTCACAGAATTGTTAATATAATAAATGCTTCTAAATAACTTGAACTAATGGTTTTATTCAACTCATGGCTCACACTGGCACTATTTCAGAGCAAAGATAACATTTTATATTTATTTCTGTGAAAAAGTGCAGTTTAGAATTACATTCATCATTCTCTGGGCTAGATATATAGATATCAGTAATTGTGATGTCCAACAAAAAATTTTCCTATTCTGGAAGGGTAGTGATTGAATATTATTATAACTTGTCTCTTGTGGGTCCAGCTATGCTTGCTTAAACTAAATGTCAAAATTTGATTTCTGCTTCATTCAATATGTAACAGTTATGTTGATCAAGAGTGAAGTTGAATTTGTTCTTTTGGAAGTATCTTTGGAACCTGGCCCAGCATTTTGGATTCTTTATGTTGTAGTCGCTGAAGTTTGTGTTTGTTAATAACTCATATATTTACAACCCCTCACAACATACAACAACTCATACTCAACAACATTCATAACATGAATATACATCACTTCAAATTTCAGTTTGAAGAGGTTCATATAAAAGTGCGTATCAGTTCTCACAGCTTAGTATCCCTTTTCAAGTCAAAGTTTATTTCAAGGCACAGGAGAGTCTTTTAGATTTCTTTTAAATAGTTGAATTCATCTTCTATGTACAGAAAGCAGATAGAAGTCTTTTTATCAGAAACAAATGTCATCACAGCTCTCCCTGTGCACATAGTGTTATGCATGGTGTGTGTAACTGGAGTGACTCGCTTAGCGCTTTTCTATAGTTATCCGATCCATATGATCATCTGTACTTAATAGTGGGTTTTTAGTCCTCCTTTAAAGTGAAACACAGATACGCTGGATGCTTTTTGACTTGTAACGTTTTCTTCTTTTTCTTTTGTGAAAAACAATAATTGTTAAAAGCAAGATCAGAGTAGAGAAAAGGCAGCAGGCAAAGAATATCAGCGGCTTCTTCTGTGAAACAAACAAGCAGAAGCTGCACTCGTCTTCCTTGCCCGACGGATCGCAGATTGAATATTCTCCAGGAAAACCATTATTGCTTATCAGGTTGTTGTAAAACTTGATCGAAGGCTTTCCTCTGGCATCAGAAGTGAAGAATCCAAACCTGGGCTTAGACTTTTCTTCAGTCAGTTTAAATGCGTAGTAACCTCTAACCTTGACCTTGTCGATATAGTATGCTGGGGGGTGGGAAAGCAAAGAATTATTAATAAAACCTTCGCCAAACTGGGGAATTCCTGCAAACAAGTTAACACTTCAAATTATTGATCTATAGTTTAAAAAAAAATCAAAAAAATTATCAATAGTTATTGCTTCTAATAATACTTGTATTCCCTTGCCTTAAGTAGAAAGTTGGCTGTTGTTTAAAGGAGAGGTAGGATTTGGAAATTTCCTCTGTTGCAAACACCTGACCTTCTCTGTGAAAGTCGAGTTTGCCAGACGCTTGCCCTGCTTTCTTGACTACTTGGCTGTTCATGTATGTGCACATGCAGCCTCCTTCCTGCAAGTGCCTGGGCCAGGGCTCTGCGTCCATGTGCTCAGTCCCCCCATGCAAGGTACAGTGCTGCACTGGAGTGTCGTGTGCCAGTGTTTTAATAAAACCACGAACGGCAAGCCTTGGTGAGTAAAAACCTCTCCAATTCATATACAAGCAAAGAGAATCTGCAATGTGATTCAGATTGGACAGGAACGTTATAAATCAGGAAGATCTTTCTGTAAGGACTATAAAAAATATTATGCTATCTGAAAATTAAAGGGACCTTTGCCCTTTAAATTACCTTTTCATTTGTGCAGCAGCGGCTTAGTTTACTGTCCCATTGTTTGTGATACCACATTAGTGCAGAAAATACACTGAAGAACTTGATTAGTCCTGTGTCATCTGAGAAAGGAGCCTCAGAAGAGTGTTACAGACAGTGCTAATGGGGAAACTCCAGAGCTCGCCTATAAGTAGGAGTGGCTGCAAGCATGTGTCTGAAACCTTGTTTTGACTTTGTAGACCTGGTGCTGCTGCTGTCACCTATTTGTCTGTATTGCGCTGCGGTTGCTCCCCTGCTGTTTGGGGCCCAGCCTCCCAGTACAGCCCTGCAGCTCTTCTTCAGAAAGCTGAACAGAGTGCACTGCTTCCTTTCAGTGCTTGAGCAGAGGAAAACATGCTTGTTTCATTCCTCTCATACAATAAGATACTAACACAGATAGTTGGCTTGGATGAGAAGATAGCCTTGGGTTTTTGTCCCTTACCCTTTTTGCTCTGAAGCCATTAGGTTAAGAACAGAAGACAAGTAGTGGAGCAGGGTCTAGTCTAAAGCTTCTCTATTCAAAAGCAGCTCCTTAAAGGCTGCTGAGCTGCCATATTTCCTCTGTACCTCTCTGTCTCCAAATCTCTTCACACTTATGTTTTACCATCTGATAAATTCATCATATACTCACCCTTTAAAACCTCTTGTACGTATTTTCCTAAGTAATAATTCCGGAGTTCATCGTTGTCTAAGGACTGGTCATCTATTCCGTTTGCCGTGATGTAAACATCGATGTCGCCATAGCTCTTTTTAATCCACTTCAGGAGCTTGCGGATTCCCCAGGGCACCACTGCTAAGCGGGAAGGGGAGCTCAGGCAGGTGATATCCTGCAGAAACTGAACGTCACGGTCAGACTCGTACTGGCTCCCGTGCTGAGCTTCGTGGATCACGAACCTGGTGGTGAAATGATTGAGCGCGTAGAAGTCAGCCGCACCCTTGACAAGCTGCTTCTCCTCCCGTGTGAATGAGGGCAAGGAGGAGTATGAGAGGCCTCTTCTGTTCTTAAAGAGAATGTATTCCCTCATAGTAGCTGGATAGTCCCCAGTCTTAAATATCGGGTCGGCAAACCAGCCTATTTCGAACTGCAGGAATCTGTTGGCGGCCCGTGCGTGGGACTCCAGGTAAGGGTTGGCCGGCTCGGCCCAGTCCGAATGCAGCGACAGGGACACCCTCCCAGCCTGGAAGGGCCGGTAGCGCTCGTCGTATATTTTCCAGGCCATGGCATGTGCTATCAATAAATTGTGTGCTGCCTGGTACGTATCGTTGCTGCTCCTGTTATAGACATCACTTAGTCGGTTGGGCTCATTTATTGTAATCCACAGCTTAACCAAATCGCCGAGTTCTTGGAAACATAAGGCTGCGTAGTCCTGAAAAGCGTGGGCCGTGGATTGATTTAACCATCCTCCTGCCTGCAGCAAAGGACCTGGCAGGCCCAGGTAGGCGTGAGTGGGATAGTATAAGGTGACCATAGATTGAATATTGAGTTTCAGTACCTCGCTAACCATGCACCTGTAATACCTAAGGACCTGTCTGTTGATCACTGACAGATCTCCATTGGGTAGGACAAGCGCCCAGTCAAGTGCAAATCTATAATGGGTGACTCTCATCTTTTCCAGCAGGTCGAGCTGCTTCTTGATACTGACAAAATCTGTGCACTGAGCCGGTCGGGTTTTCAGCTTCACTCCTTCTACTTTGTGCAAGAGCCCATCTCCCGTGACGTTCCAGAGGTACAGGTTGGAGTCGCAGAACTGGGGCGAGGAGGCCACAGACTCTGCCTGTGAAGACAAGAAAGTATTAACAGATGTTTTAATTAAATGACTATTTGTTTGTTTGCATAACTATGTGTGTTGCGCTGTTGGATTAGTGCTGGATGTCCTGCTCAGATGCTCTAGGCTTGCCTATATGTGCATTGCCTTGTGCTAATGCTACAGTAACGTTCATACGTTTCCCGTGCTGTTCCTTCATGTATGGAAGGCAAAGTAAAGCAGCTCTCCTCTTCAGCTGCATAGGGTCGTGTAAGATGTTCCCCTGTTAACTTTAGCAAGTTCTGCCTTCTACCACCAGCCTACGCTGTATGTATTGCTACTTGGATAAATCTCCTTGCTCCGGTGCACGCTGTGGCCATGCAGGTCTCACAGCTGATGCAACAGCGGGGACGTGCTGGGAGTTTGGTCCATACGGGACACGCGTGCAGATGCTGCCTGTTGGTGCCTGCAGCGCTGGTGTGTTTTTCCTCTATGGAACGTCTGCTTTTCCACGTGGAGAAACGGTGTTTCACTCCCTGGGCTGAGCCTGGCTGTACTTCTGCCCCGCTCAGGAGCTGCTCTGTTGGCAGCAGCGCCTGCTCCCTGCCCAGAGCCAGCAGGGCCTGGCCATGACCCGTGTTGGGAAACTCCTTTGGTTGAAAAATAACCCAGTAAACCCCGGTCAGGGTCAGCCTCTTGCTTGGAGATTTCCTGGTTGAGCGCAGGGAAGGGCTCCGGCAGCAACACACCCTGTGTGCAGCCCCACGCTGCGACCGCTGCAACAACCCTCGGTGGCTAAACTGAAACCCATAAAACGTATGGTTTTTGTGGCCCGTAAGTCATGTTGGGTCACATTAACCTGTGTGTGTGCAGTGTGCTTTGAGATTT